ACTATTTATACTATCAGTGGACTTTCTTCCACTCTCATGGTGTTAAAAAAACATATATCTGCTTGTAATTCCCAAAACTTAATCCCCAGCATAACAGACTTCTATCTTCAATTCTAGAAATGGACCTACTCTGGAATTTTTTAGGCAGCTATACACTTGACATCTCCACTTGGCTGTATTATCTGATAATACCTTCATTATTCATCTCCTATTCAAGTTGTGATTTTCCTGATTCTTGATTAGATGAGTGGTTTTCTGTTTGGACCTGAACATTTATGGTCTTAGAAGACCCTGGAATTTATTTATAGCCTAATGTTTTAGCAGTTCTCCTCACAGACGACCCAGTTAAGGAAGAGAAAGCATTGCCTCCTTACTGCCAAGTGGGGGACTGAAGTCCAGGTTCCCTGCTTGGCCTCTTTTGACACCACTTCAGTGGTGAGATGGTAGAGAGAAGATTGAGGTGCCCCATTATAGCCTGGCAAGTGCGGAAGCCTGGGGTCTCCACAGCATTTGCAAGAGAGAATGGAGATGAGACCATGATTGGAGATCCCAAAAGTAAAATATTTAAAACTAAACTCTTAGATTTTTTTTCCCCTTGTTATTCCCATAGGCTTCCTTACTTCAGAAAGGATAATTTCTATCTACAGTTGCTCATGCAAAACCTCTCAGCTATCACTGGCTTCCTTCCCTTCTGTCAGAAAATTCTGTCAGCTGTCCCTTCAATACATATCCAGAATCTGAACTCTTTTTATGACTTTTACTACCTCCATTCTGGTCCAAGCCTCTACGATAGTCTAAGGTTCCATCATCTCTCACTTGGTCTCCCTGCTTCCACTTTTGCTTTCTTGCAGTTTATTCCTAGCATGGTAGCCAGAGTAATCCTTTTAAAAATAAGTCAAATCATGTCACTCCTATGGCTGAACCCTCTGACAGCATTCAGTCTCACCCAGAATAAAATCCAAAGGATTCTGGATGGCCCACAAAGCCCTACATCATCTGGCCCTCAGTTATAGCTCTGCACCATGTTGTGCAACTCTCCCCTTGTTCTAGGTTGGTTTCTCTTGCTGTTCCTTCCTTGTGTGTTCCTAACATATAGGCAGTCCTGACTTTGTAGATCCTGATATGTGTGAATTCTACTATAGTGTATAACTGTATTACACTAGTCCCCCACCAACTCTGTTCAAATTTCAGTTACCACTGTATATTAACTGAGTAGTTACATAAACTTTATGCAACTTTATGCAAACTTTGCTGCTAGCTTCTCAGTCCACAAATCACTATGTAACTAACAGCTATGCATCATGATCTATGACCAATCACATCATTTCCTTTGAAGTATGTCTGTGAGTGGTCAATGCATATCTGTTATTCAGTTTATGCAGACGGCAAACTGTGGAGCTGTACTGTCTCTTGTTTCTCAACTGATAAACCCAGGTGAAATTTTACAATAATGGATGAAAGAGTGAGAACTGGCCAACAAAAATGAGAATGCAGGAAAAAACAGTAATTCTGGAAGTAAAATTGGATGTAATTAAAAGACTTGGAACAAGCAACAGCAAAGACAGGATGAGCCCTAGGCTTGTGTGAAGATATGGAATGGACCATGTAGAGAGAATCCAATGAATATTTAAAAAGATGGTAAAGTCATCTCATATCATCTTTTAGTTGAGACTGCACTAGGAACAGAAAGCCACTATGGTGAAATGTATTTACTTCTCCTTTGGATTGATGACTATTGAATGAATGAATGAATGAATGAATGAATGAATCCCAGTCATTCAGGCCAAAGTGTTAAAGCTAGCTGCCACACTGAAAGGAAATGGCCACTTACAAGGAGAATGAAAAACAACAACAACAAATCCTTTTCTGGCCAATAAAGACTGGTTTATTTCAAAAGTTAATAAATTAACTTTGATAAATGAATGTTAAGCTATCTGGTGAAGCTACTAGCACAGTTAAAAGATGCTGCGTGAAAGGGGTACGTGTACCCCAATGTTTACAGCAGCAATGTCCACAATAGCCAAACTTTGGAAAGAGCCAAGATGTCCATCGACAGATGAATGGATAAAGAAGATGTGGTATAGATATACAATGGAATATTATGCAGCCATCAAAAGGAATGAAATCTTGCCATTTGCAACGACGTGGATGGAACTGGAAGGTATTATGCTGAGCGAAGTAAGTCAATCAGAAAAAGACATGTATCATATGACCTCACTGATATGAGGAATTCTTTTTTTTTTTTTTTTAAATAATTGTTTTCTTTATTTATTTGAGAGAGAGAGAATGAGAGACAGAGAGCATGAGAGGGAGGAGGGTCAGAGGGAGAAGCAGACTCCCCGCCGAGCAGGGAGCCCGATGCAGGACTCGATCCCGGGACTCCAGGATCATGACCTGAGCCGAAGGCAGTCGCTTAACCAACTGAGCCACCCAGGCGCCCGATATGAGGAATTCTTAATCTCAGGAAACAAACTGAGGATTGCTGGAGTGGTGGGGGGTGGGAGGGATGGGGTGGCTGGGTGATAGACATTGGGGAGGGTATGTGCTATGGTGAGTGCTGTGAATTGTGTGAGACTGTTGAATCACAGATCTGTACCTTTGAAACAAATAATACATTGTATGTTCAAAAAAAAAAAAAAAGAAGATAGCAGGAAAGGAAAAATGAAAGGGGGTAAATCGGAGGGGGAGACGAACCATGAGAGACTATGGACTCTGAGAAACAAACTGAGGGTTCTTGAGGGGAGGGGGTTAGGGGGATGGGTTAGCCTGGTGATGGGTATTAAAGTGGGCACGTACTGAATGGAGCACTGGGTGTTATATGCAAACAATGAATCATGGAACGCTACATCAAAAACTAATGATGTAATGTATGGTAATTAACATAATAAAAAAATTTGAAAAAAAAAAAAAAAGACTGTCTGGATAAACAGGTTATGTAGACCTACCTACTTTCAGAGATGTTTTTCTTTTCCTTAACTTTTGTTTAATAGGTCCAAATATTTTACCTAGAATTATAAAGACTTGTTCGCACAACCCAGCACATTCTTTCTATGCTGGTAACCAATCAAAAATGAAAACAGTGAGATGTTACCTACCATATAGACAAAACATCTGGAAGAATGGTCACATTATTTTTATCCAAAAAGCCTGAATCAAGCAAAATATGCACTGTGACACTTAGTTTTAGTGTATTATTTTCAGCTTGGATAGAAACATTTTTCGAACAGAGCAGATTCCTTCAGATTGAAAATGCAATTAAGTTTCCACTTGGAATGATGTAATGTATGGTGATTAACATAACAACAACAAAAAGATGCTGCGTGAAATGTGCACCCGGATTCCACGCATTAGTTAGGGCAGAGGGTTTTGATGAAAAGGATGAAGATGTCCTTAGAAGTGATGCTGGCAAAAAGTTTCACATTAAAGGAACTCTTGGAGACAATTTGCCACCATTGAAAAGACAAAGGATAAAATGTCAGAAGCAGATCCAAACTTAGAAAGGAGCATGACAATTCACCAATGCATGGAAGGACTACTGTGCTTTTCATCACTGAGTTATACAATGTGAAGGCAGCGAGCACTGTTCCAACTCCTCTTGATTAGTTTTTAGAAAGAAATAAAACTTTCTCAGTGTTTCTCATGTTTAAATTACAGTGTACCAAATAAATATTAATTTTACTACTTTTTTCACTTCTCTATATATGGTAACTGACGATAAGAGAGTTTTGAGTATTTTCATAATGTTTTAAAGGTCAGAGAATAAGCACAACCCCCACCCCCTAAAATTAATATTTTTCACAGCTTCCCCTTGCATGGTTATTTTTACTTTTCTGCACTAATGTGCAAAGTAACGACTGCATGTCCTCTTACATCAAATTCTTGGTCCCTGCTCTTTCCTCGGCCCGATGCAGTTGGACGTCAGGAAGCATGTGGCTGTTCCTTTGTGCTCTTAAACCTCTGCTCAGAGAAGGCTTTCTAGACAGCATCATCTCTTCCTCCTATTGCCTTACATTCCTTTCACACTGCCTTCTTTTTCTTCACATATTGATTTCTCTACATCTACTAGAAAATAAGCTTAAGGAGAATGGACACTTCGTCTTAGTCACTCTCCTATATTCCCAGATTCTAAAACATTACCTAGCCCACACAGGGCAATCGTAATTTTTCCTTGAATGAAGTTTTATCTTGGAGTTGATAAATACATCACACCATGGCAAGCTATTACCGGTATAAGTAAAAACTGCAAGATGTAGAACAATCTAATCAGCAAGATCCTGTTTTTAAAACTCAATCTACACAGAGAAAGACGTGTGGAAAGATACTTAACAAAACTGTTACCAATCAATATGATTCTGGCTAGGGAGACTGGCAAGGTGGATAGAGAACAGGATAAAGATTTTCACTTTACACTTTATTTTTATATTGTCTCTCTCTTTCCCAAAATAATATTATTGTGGAATTAAAAAGAATAAAGAAAACAACATATATTACCTACTGTCATGATGCCATTTTTTTTTTTAAAGATTTTATTTGAGAGAGAGAGCATGAGCAGGGGGAGGAGGAGAGGGGGAAAGAATCTCAAGGAGACTCCGTGCTCAGTGTAGAGTCCAATGCAGGGCTCGATCTCACGACTCTGAGGTCATGACTTGAGCCGAAACCAAGAGTCGGTCACTTAACCGACCAACTGAGCCAGCCAGGTGCCCCATGATGCCACTTTTGATAGCAATAATAACTGGGGATTATTGTGAGGCAGGCTCTGTCCTCTTTAAATGCATCATTTCATTTAAATACATAAGAATTCTATGAAGCAGATATTATAAGTATGGCTATTTCATAAATAATAATCAGAGAGGCTGAGCAATGTCCAGGTCACACAGCTAGAAAGTGGATGTAAAAAGATGCACATAGGCAAATTATCTAAGATTTGTCACATGTGTTAGGCTTTTTCCTCCCCAATAACGTGCAGTTGGAAGCAAGAGTGATAACATTTATGTGCTCACCCTGCAGGCCTAGGTGACCCGGACGTACTTCGCATAGAGCTCTCCACTCGAGGGCTAGCCACTTCAGGAGGCTGAGGAGGAATGAGGGTTTTCCGAACTGCCATTCTGAAAGAGACCAGACAAACCCAGAAAACAACAGTCCGAGGGCATTAAAGGATAGGAAGTACACAGTTGCTAGGCATACCTATGGCAAAATAAAAGCACTACATTGGCTAAGCCATTTTTTAAGTGGATTTCAAATTTTATCAAAGTAATATAGATACATTACTGAAAATGCCAAATCGCACTAAAAAGCTTTTAACAAAATACAGCAGGTCCCCACCCCAGCGCTCCCCATTTCCTGCCCATCTCTCTCCAGGAAGCAACCGCTATGACTCTTTTAGCTGATGCTTCTAGTATGCCACATCTCCTTTCTACTCATTATCAAACCTGAAATCCATATTACGTGTTCATGATTATTATTATGTCTATATATGTATGTATGTATTTAAAGATTTTATTTATTTGACAGAGAAAGAGACAGAGAGAGAGGGAACACAAGCAGGGGGAGTGGGAGAGGGAGAAGCAGGCTTCCCGCTGAGCAGGGAGCCCGATGTGGGGCTTGATCCCAGGACCCTGGGATCATGACCTGAGCCGAAGCCAGACGCTCAACGACTGAGCCACCCAGGCGCCCCTATGTCTATGTATTTATATTGACCTGAGGCAGTTCCTGGAAGTCAAATGAGAAAAGTTGATCAAGTTAGTTAGTGTCAACTGTGCCATGCAGTAGAGGCCACATACAGCTCAGACTGAGAACCACTGGGCTCAGCAATGTGGAAGCGGTGAGTAATCGTGACATGTTTAGTTTTGGCAGAGTGGTGGGAGCAAATGCTAGACAAGAGTGGGTTGAGAGAAAATGGCTAGAATCAGAATATACCATTTTGCAAAGCCTAATTAATGGATCTAGATAGTAATCATCAAGTCTGCTAGCATCTCAAAAAGGGTGACCACCAAACATCATTTTAATTTATAAAGTGCTCTTGCCCAAAAAAAAAAAAAAGATATACGAATCTAATCAAGCTTTAGATTCAAGTAACAACTTAAAAAAATGTGTGGAGGAGACAAGAACAGCAAAACTTCACTACAGGGGTAGTGGGCTGAATTGTGGTCCCTAAAAAGATATACAAGTCCTAATCCCTGTATCTGTGAATGTAAAAAAAAAAATAGGGTCTTTGTGAAAGTAACTTAAGTTAGAGATCTCAAAGTAAGATCCTTCTAGCTTTGGTAGGCCTTAAATCCAATGACTGGTATCCTTATCACAGAAAGGAGAGGGAGATTTGAGACACAGAGACACAGAAGAACATGTGAATATGGAAGCAGAGATTGGAGTGATGTGTCCACAAGCCAAAGGTCTGTCAAGAGCCACTGGATGCTAGGAAAGAGGCATGGAATGGATTCTCACTGGGTGCATTCAGAAGGAACCAACTCTGTTTACATCTTGATTTCAGAACTTCAAGCCATCAGAACTGAGAATAAATTTTTTTTTTTAAAGATTTTATCTTTAAGCAATTTCTATACCCAACATGGGGCTCGGCAGAGTCACAATCCCGAGATCAAGAGTCATACGCTCTGCCGACTAAGTCAGCCAGGCACCTCTGTGAGAATAAATTTGTTGTTTTATGGCACCAGATTTGTGGTAATCTGTTATGGCAGCTCTAGGAAACTAATACAATGTGGATGCAGTTGAAAAAAATCCAGGGAGGGAGAGGGAAAAGTCTACAGGACAAAAGACCAAGTTTCTTCAACAAATAAATCTCAAGGAAAAAAAAGAGATGAAGGAAACCTACAGAAGAGTCTTAGGAGACATATCAACTGATCACAATGTGGGCACCTTATCAGAATACTGATTCAAATCAACAAAAATTTTGTGACATTTGAGGCCACTGGAAATTTGAACAATGACTAGATATTTGATGATATTACAAGGTTATTATATTTCTTAGTGAGTACCTCAATAGACACATACTCACATACTGAAATATATACAAATGAAATGATGTGCTTTCTGGAATTTGCTTCAAAATAATATGGAGAAGGGGGTGGGTAGGCATGTAGATTAAACAAAACTGGCCATGAGCTGATAAACTGATAAATGAAATTGAATGATGGGTATTCATATGTTCAAAATTTTATTGTTTCAAGTTTTCCATAATAAAAAGTAAAAAATAAGACCAACTCCACTAACCCCCCAGAAAACAAAGAAAATAAACCTAATGAGATACACCACTACACAGCCACAGAATAACCAAACTTAAAGAATGTCAATAACAAGTGTTAGTGATTATGAATGCAATGATGATCCCCACCTGCTACTTAGAGTGTACAAGGGTATGAACACTGGAAACACTGTTGCCAGTGTCTACCAGAGCTGAACATATGTATAGCCTACAACTCAGCAAATCCCCTCCTAGGTATGCATTTACCTATGTATTAAAGGTCATACACGAAAACATTCAGAATAACATTATGGCCCCAAACTGGAAACAACCCAAAGATCTACGGATAAACTATGCTATCCTTATACAATAGTGTTTCATATAGCAATAAAAAAATTAAAATCACATGCAATAAAGTGGGTGCATTACATCAAATCAAGGGAGGGAAGGTGGACTCACACAAAAACGTGTAATATATGATTCAGCAGAAGTTCAAAAAGAGGAAAAGCAAATCGACAGGGTCAAAAAAACTGGTTAGCTGCCTTTGGGAGAAGGTGTTGGTAATGTTCTTTCTCTTGACGTAGATAACGGTTGCATGCTGTGTTCACTTGTGCTAATTATACCAAACATGCATTACCTTTGCAGTTTTCCATATCTTTGAAAATGCTGAGAGAGAAAGAAACTGGAAGAAAAACTGGAGTTAGCAAAAACATGTAACTCCTTTATTTTCTTTGAAAATAGGAGCAAAAAAATGGGGTAGGTAGTGGAGCAAGGTGATTTAACAGAAGAGTTTTTTTTTTTTTTAAAAAGATTTAATTTATTTATTTGAGAGAGAGAAAATGAGAGACAGAGAGCATGAGAGGGAGGAGGGTCAGAGGGAGAAGCAGACTCCCTGCCGAGCAGGGAGCCCGATGCGGGACTCCAGGATCATGACCTGAGCCGAAGGCAGTCGCTTAACCAACTGAGCCACCCAGGCGCCCCTTAACAGAAGAGTTTTAAGATGGAAGAAATAACAGCATGTTTATACCTGCTATGTGAATGATACACTAGCGAGAAAACGCTGATTAAGTAGGAGAGAGGGAGAAGCACTACAGCACTGTTCTCAGCAGGTTAGAAAGGCTGAGGTCAGCGAAGCACCGAGAGTCCATCCATAGGAACAGATGAGTAGAGCACGGGATACAGATGCTGGCAGGTAAGGAGATGTGAGAGCTAGAGTTGATGGAAGTTCCATTTTTCTCAAAAAATAGGGAACAAAAATTCATTAGCTGGTGGCGAACACAGATGAGGAAGTGTGGAAGTTTTGAGAGGAGCAGAGGTTAAAAGCTATTCTGTGTTGGTCCTCTGTGAGATCCTAGTGGAGGTTTGTGAGGTTAAGCAAGGCCAGTCAACAAGGTTGTTTATCCCACCACAGTCTGCTGCACAAATTCAGCGGAAAGTTGGATTTGACTATTTCTGACAAAGTGAAGGGGGGGGGCAAGGAAGTGGGGGCTGTATGCAAGGAAGTGATTGTAATGGACCACAGAAACTAAGTCAGGAAGAACAGAGAAAGGCCATGAAAAGCAGTGAGGAATAACGCAAAGGTGGTAGCATCAATGGATCGAAGGTTCCCCCCGAGTGGGTCCGTTGCAATACCACTGCCCGTGAGGTAGGAAGACAGAGGTAGGCTGTGGGACAATGGAGGACAGAAGAGGTCAGGGAAAGCTTGCGCTTATGGGTGTGTGCTGCCGATAGAGGGGGGAGGACAGGGAAGCATTTAAGCAACTGAGAAGCCAGAGAGCTGGGAAATCATTTTGGACAGAATAAGCGCCAGACGTTATGGACCTTCTGAAGGATGTACAAACATATGCGCAAATCAACTGGAATCTGATCAAGCCTCTTGAGCTGCCCTGACCAACAAGGTAGCCTCTAGCCATATGGGGCTACAAAGCACTTGACTGGTGGACTAGGAGCAAAATTTTTAATGGTAGTTCATTTAAATAATTTGAATTTAAAACTGTTATCTGATTCAGTTATTAAAAAACGTTGCAGTGTGCCTGGAATAACTTGGATATGTGAAAGTACTTTTTCAACTGCAAATTTTATGAAATCTGAATATAGACTGAGTGCTTTCCAAGAGAAATGGCATGAAAGTGGCAGTGAGGCACAAAGAAGACATCAACCCCACCACCAGGCCCAGTGACAGAAGGATGGGGAGGAAAGACAGCCACTACTCTGGAGAGAGTGCAGGAGCCAAGACCCCATGGGAGAACCAGATTCTAGTTAAAGAAGGCAGGCACACAGGGGTTAGAGTCTGTGGCAAATGAGAGCAGTGTGCCCCACGGAGGAGGCAGCAGCCAGACTCTACCTCGGTGACTTCAAGCCCTCCAAGTCCACACAAAAATGAGCACCATCCAGTGGCAAATAGGCAGATTCTCTACAAGGCTCTTCCCGGAAGAAATGTGAATGTGTTCCTATAGCAATGCAGACTACAGAGAGAAATCACAACCAGGACTGGGGTTGAGGGAAATGCAGGAACTTGTACATGTGATGGGGGTGTTAATTCATGGTTTGTTTTGGAAGGCACTTCAGCAGTATCTGTCAAAACTAAAAATGCACACACCCCTTGATCCAGAGTTCCCTCTTCTTGAAATTATCCTAAAAGCTACCACGAGTCCACAAGGACCATTGGAGGATAATGTCCATCTCAGCAACGTGTGTAAGAGTGAAAAATGGAAAACTATCCAAATGGTTTATCAGTAAGGCAGTGATTACGTACACATATGATGGTCTACCTTTGTATTTAAATATTATGCATTCTTTAAAAAGAATAATGCAGATCTATGTGTAGTGATATGAAAAGATGTCTACTTTGTATGAAGAAAAAAACTGTAAAATCACGTGTAATATTCCATTTTTCTAGAAAATGTGTATAAATAAATTAAAAGAACTATGTATCACCTAAATACATTATGTATCACCAAAAAAAAAAAAAAAAAAAAGGGAAAGCAGGTACACTCAAAGAAGAAGGATACAGGAAATTCTGATGATGACAGTCAGTTACAGGGGCACAGCAAAAGGGTTGTAGGGAGGTGATGAAGTGTAGGAGAAGGGGGAAGATCTTTTTACCTCCAGGGTTGTGAAATTTCAAGATGTTTATCTTGGTGTCGATTTATCTGTGTCCACAGCGTCTATTGTGCTGGGCATTTCACAGTTCTTTAAATCAGGAAACTCATCCCCTTCAGGTTTGGAAATTTTCTACTAATTATTTTTAAGTCACCTCCTTCCTTTTCTCTGATCTCTTGCTGAAACTCCTTTACTTGCAGGTGGGCCCTCCTGAACTGATTCTTTTAATTTTCTTGTCTTTTCTGTTTATCTTTTTGTTCTTTTTAACTCTACTTTTGAAAGATTTCCTCAACTGTATTTTCCTACTCTTCTACTGAGTTCGATTTCTACTCCTGTAGTTTAAATTTCAGGACACACTCTTTTGTCCTCCAAATGTTCCTTTTGTGTAGTGCTGCCTTCCTGTTTCATGGATACATCTTTTTTTGTCCTTTGAAGACAGCATTCACAGTTTTGGTCTTTATTTGCTTTTGCTTTTTGTTTTTAGTTTTACTCTCATTGCTTAGCTTCTGTATCTTCCAGGCTGCGTTTTTCAGTACGTCTCATGGTTTGTATCTTGCATTGTTGGAAGGCCCCTCAGATACCTGGTTATCCCTGGTTGCGTGTTCATGATGAGGACTGGGGGACTAACGCTGGTTAGAACCTCTGAACTTGAAGAACTTGCCTATTTTTTTTTTTTAAGAGTGGCAGTGAAAAAGAGAGAGAGGAGCGAAGGAGGGGCAGAGGGGGAAGGGGAGAGAGTAAGACTCCACACCCAGCATGGAACCTGATGCAGGGTTCAATCTCACAACCCTGAGATCATGGCCTTAGCCAAAATCAAGAGTCGGATGCTTAACTGACTGAGCCACCCAGGCGCCCCAGACATTGCCTACTTTAAGTTTCACTGTAGGGTGATCTGGTTCCTGACCTTACGAAATCCCTAGTGTTGGTATCTTTGCATCTTTCCTCCTGGGCTGGATGATCCTTGAAAGAAAGTGGAGTCCTCATCTCACTTTTTGTCTACAGCATTCAACTGCCAGGGTCCTGCCAGCTAAAAGGGAGAAGTGGACTGGTTGTCTCAGCACTCCGCAAATCTGTGTCTGGTAAAATACTCCTGGCCCCCTTTATGCTGACTGATCCCAGTGGACCAGCTGCAGAATTTAGCCCTCTGGGTACATGCTGGGGTTGGGAGGAGCAGTGTACGACAAACTGTGGGTAGCGAAGGGGATGCAGGGCTCTAACCTTCTCAAACACATTTCAGCCCAGCTTCCTTCCACCCCTTGTTCTTCCTGTTCCTGTTCCTTCTGAAGCTTCAGCAATTTAAATGAGCATGCTTCTACAGACTTAAAATTCAGCTTTCTCACAGTTAAGTGAGTGATCACTCACCTACCTGCTTTCCAGCTTCAAAGTTTGGTTGCTGTTGTCTTCTCCTATTCTCCCCATCCTTGTGTGTTTACATCTTTTTAAAAAGCCTCTTTGCTAAAAGTTCTATAGGGTTTTGAGGGGAAAAGAAATTTAGAAGTGTGTGTTCAGCCTGCCATGTTAAGCATGAGCTTTGTCTTGCATTTTCATTGATAAGGTTCCTTTACCACAGACTGACTTATCTTTAAAAGAGGCTCTGATTGAGGCAAAGTCCTACACATCTGGAAACCCCGTACGGGCCCAGCAGCTTATGTTCTCGCTATGCTTTAACCTTTATGATCTTCTGCTGTTGAAGCACATGAGCTCAGTGGAGCCAAAGAAATGCTGCTCGCTGAAGTGTGACTGCCCATCTTCCACCTCCCAAGTTTTCAAGTGAAGTTTCAGGGCACAGCACATACCTTCCTGCCCATGACCCACACCAACTCAGAGGTCCTATGACGACACAGTACACTTGTGCTACTAAATATGACCCTTACTTAATACACCCGGGATATTATTTGCCCTGAGCAACAATTCATGCTGGCCAATAAGGAAAAAAAATACATAGTACACATTAATGTGCCTACCCAAACAAGCCTGAAGGGTCTATTAGAAGCTACTCAGAGAGTCTAGAATTAAACTCCCATAAACTAGAGAGAACTCCTAAAATAGTATGCAACGGCTGCTTCTAAAACTGACCCCCCCGCCACGACTCATGGATTCTTACTGTCCTAGAGTCTTTGCTTGCCAAGGCTCTACCGAATGAGCCTGTGGTCAAGTTATTTTGAAAGATTAAAAAATGCTACAGAAGATGAGAGCTTAAAGTCTGCTACCAGCACTGGATGAGCGCCTACTGTTTCTACTAATTATATCCAGAATTAGAGGTGTCGTGTGGCACTACTGGGTCTACCTACCCATCCGTGGCGGGTTTCTTCCGGAGGATACTTGGCCGGGGGGATGAGCCCTGGGCTGGAGCGTTGGTGCCAGCACTCTGGCTGTGGGTCTGCACCACTGTTGTTGCTGCGGGAGCAGCGCTGAATGGATTGCTAATAGGGTTGGCCACAATTGTGGCTCCGTCTGCCAACACCACTGCTGGAGGACAGGGAGGGGGCAGGAGAGAACAACGAAGAAAAGGAAACAAAAGAAACATTACTAAAATATCACGTAAGACAAAAAACAATTAGACCTCCAGAATTAGAGTACCCATGCTCTGACTGTCCAATTTCAAGAAAGTAAGGAATGAGCACAATGTTCATCTGTCTCAAAGCAGATGGCAAAGTGGAAGAGGTTACTGAGCCTACTGATGCACATTTTTCTTTGCTGTATAATCATAACTACTAATAAATCACATAAGATAAAGTGTGTAGCATACTTCAAGAAATAATCTCCTACAATTTTTGTGAAATACCATTGCCTCTCAATCCCTAAAAATGATACCAACAATCCCTAAATATGATACATTAATTTTACAGCTTTACATACAAGTCGGAAGAAAATCTTAAACAGAATCAGAACACTATAATAAAGGTGAATTTGCTCTCTCAACTTTACAGAGTGCTTCTTACCACATGCAAATGCACATTAGGCTGTTGATGTACATAATTTTTAATGTTTACAATGACTCTGACAGATAAATTCTATGCAACTCATGTTAAAAGAAGAAACTAAGAGAAATTACTCAAGACCACTAAGCCTGTAAGTGACAGAACCAGGATTTAAACCTAGTATATCTCTATCCTCTACACCAACTTCAATGCAAAAAACTCAAATTACCTGAAGTCTTTCCTTCAGGCTGAGGCTGCTGAGTACCCATTGGTGCAGGCTGAAGTCCCTGTGTGCTGACTGGGGTTGCTGAGTGGATTCCCTGTGTGCCCATTGGTGCTGGCTGTATTCCTGGAGTCCCAATGGGGGCTGGCTGTATCCCCTGTGTACTGATGGGTGCTGGCTGGATCCCTTGGATATGTCGAGCATGAGAAGTATCCACGGTCATCAACTGCATGGGGTTTAGGTGGACTGTGGAAGCCACCCCAACGCCAGTTTGAGCTGTGATGGCAGAATTTGGAGCCTGAGCAGAAACTGAAAATGATGCAGAAAGTGACTACAAGAATGTTAGCTCTGATTAGACATAGTCCACGTAAAGAGAAAAACACTAAAACGAAAATAGAATATTCCACTGTAAAAGACCTAAACCCTCAGTTTTTATGGGTGGTTTTTTTTTTTTTTTTGAGAGGGAAAGAGAGAATCCCAAGCAGACTCCACACCCAGCTAGGAGTCCGACATAGGGCCTGATCCCACGACCCTAAGATCATGACCTGAGCTGGAATCAAGAGTCGGATGCTCAGCTGACTGAGCCACCCAGGCACCCCAGTTTTTTTTTTTTTTTTTTTTTTAAGATTTACTTATTGGGGTGCCTGGGTGGCTCAGTCATTAAACGTCTGCCTTCAGCTCAGGTCATGATCCCAGGGTCCTAGGATTGAGCCCCACATCAGGCTCCCTGCTCAGCAGGAAGCCTGCTTCTCCCTCTGCCCCTGCTTGTGTTCCTTCTCTCGCTGTCTCTCTGTCAAATCAATAAATAAAATCTTAAAAATATAATAATAAATATTTACTTATTTATCTAAGAGAGTGAGCGCATGAGCACAAGTGGGAGGGGCAGAGGGAGAGGGAGAAAGAATCTCAAGCAGACTCTGTGCAGAGCACAGAGCCTGATGTGGGGCTTTATTCCACAACCCCAAGATCATGACCTGAGCCGAAACCAAGAGTTTGATGCCGAACAGACTACGCCACCCAGGAGCCCCATAAAACCTTTTTTTTTTTTTTAAACAAAGCACTACATAAAGCTCTATATATATTGGAGTTTTTTCCCTCACTTCCTATCAGTGTGATATGATCTTGCTGCAGATTACTAGAAAAGCATTAAAACAAGAAAAAGGAAATCATCTATTAAATTCCAAATGTGAGCCAGGCAACTGTCCTAAATAATTAAAATAAAACTTCTGAGATCCATCCATGGCTCCCAGGTCAAGAATCTTTGCTCTAATTGATGGAACCACCATCACAGGATTTTTGATATACAGTAGTTACGAATTTTAAATTCCATATATGCGCTAAAGAGAGAGAACAAGCAAGTTTCCTTTTTTGCTGTGTATAGTAAAAAAAACTAACAACAACAAAACTGAAAACAGCAGCATTCCCAGGAAGCAAAAGAGAAGGAATTTCTATTTGTGGAAAGAAGAATACAAATCATGTTTCTTCTCAGTCATCCAAACAATCCAGAAAAAGATATACGCACCCCATATGCACTGAAATGTTATTTACAATAACAAAGATATGGAAACAACCCTAAGGGTCCACTGATGGATAAAGGGATAGAGAAAATGTGACATTTATCTCTATACACACACACACAAACACACACACACACGGGAGAGTATTACTTAGCCTTAAAAAAGAATTAAATCTTGCCACCTGCGACAACATGGATGGACCCTGAGGGTATTATGCTAAGTGAAATAAGCCAGACAAGGACAGAAAAAAACCCATATGATCTCACTTATATGTAGAATTTAAAAACAAACATAAACAAACCAAGTTCATAGATACAAAGAACAGACTGGTGGTTGCCAGAAACAGGGAATGGGGGATGTGAGACATGGGTGAAGGGGGTCAAAGGTACACACTGTCAGTTATAAAATAAACAAGACTTGGGGATGTACTGTACAGCATGGTGACCATGGTTAATAATACTATACTGGATATCTCAAAGGCTAAGAAGACAAATCTCTAAGTTTTCATCAGAAGATAAAACAATTTGTAACTTATCTGTGGTGACGGATGTTAACTAGACTTATTATGGTGATCATTTCATGATATACACAAATACCGAATCATTACATTGTCCACCTAAAACTAGTATGTCATGTTAATGATATCTCAATTAAAAAAAGGGGAAACAATGATGTAATTTAAGTTTTATAAACCATATAGTGGTTTAAAAAGGTAAATTATTATTATCAATGAGAAAAATACAGCAAAATATTAGTACATGTAAATTCATAGTTACTGCTACACTGCAATTCTTCCCTTGTAAAAGAAAGAGAAAAAGAAAAAAAAGAATCAACCCGACAAAGCTATTAGCTTCTTCCTGAGAAGTGGACGAACCTTTGTTTCTGTTCAGTAACAGTTGTGGGCACCTGACTGAACATGCAGTCTAGTCACCACCCCAAACCTCTCAAGATCCAATCTCATTCCATGTGCTGCATCCTCACTCACACTACATTCCTGCCAAAACCAAACCACTCTGTTCTGAGCGCATATTCTGTGTTAATACTTTATTCACACAGAGAAAAGTGCTTTCCCCCAATGCCGCCCTGTGGTTCTGTCCTGGGCATTCTAAGAGGCTTTCCAAATGTCATTTCCTTTAGGAAATCACTCCTGACCTCCAATCCTACCCTCTCAAGTAGAAATAACCTCTTTTAGCTCAGAAGTAGGCTGGCTTTGTTCAAGTTTCTTTTATTGGAACGTGGCACTCTCTCTCTAGTAAGAGCTCTTCATGTCTTATCTCCCTATGAGGCTCTAAGTTTGTTCAAAGTGAACTGTTTTAAGAGTCAACTTTACAGGGGCGCCTGGGTGGCTCAGTTGGTTAAGCGACTGCCTTCGGCTCGGTTCATGATCCTGGAGTCCCGGGATCGAGTCCCGCGTCGGGCTCCCCGCTTGGCGGGGAGTCTGCTTCTCCCTCTGACCCTCCCCCCTCTCATGCTCTCTGTCTCATTCTCTCTCTCAAATAAATAAATAAAATCTTTAAAAAAAAAAAAAAAAGAGTCAACTTTACAAATAGAGCCTAACGGGGCGCCTGGGTGGCTCAGTCAGTTAAGTGGCTGCCTTTGGCTCAGGTCATGATCCCAGGGGTCCTGGGATCGAGCCCCATGTCCAGCTCCCTGCTTGGCGGAGAGCCTGCTTCTCCCTCTCCCTCTGCCTGCTGCTCTATCTCTGTCAAATAAATAAAATCTTTAAAAAAACCCCAAAAAACAAAACAAAACAAAAAACAAATAGAGCCTAACATAGGACCTTACATACAATAACAGAGTTTCAATAAATATGAAATTAATAAATGCATGAATGAGGGCACCTGGGTGGCTCAGTCGTTAAGCATCTGCCTTGGGCTGAGGTCATGATCCCAGGGTCCTGGGATCGAGCCTCACATTGTGTGTCGGCTCTCAGCAGAGAGTCTGAGTCTGCCTCTCCCTCTGCCCTTCCCCCTGCTCGTGCTCTCTCTCTTTCAAATAAATAAAATCTTAAAAAAAAAAATGCATGAATAAATAAATGAAGTGGAAAACATCTCTGGAGCAAGTGAAATTTCAGGAGCAATCTGAGAGGGATCAATTACTTGCGAACTATAAAAATTACGTATATATATTCATAATTACATGTTTATATCTGTATCTAATACCTAATGAACCAACAAGATTCCATCTTTATAAGTAACCAGAGCCCATGAACAATTGGTCTAATCTATCATAAACTATGTATTACAGTAATCTCACATTTGGCCCATTATATACAAATTTTCCTGTCCTCTTCCTGATTTGAAAACATCTGCTTTAATATCATTTAAAAGGAGCCACTTGAAAACAGGACATTGTAAGCTGATTAATAAATCATTCCTTCAGTTGTGTCCATCCATGCATGTCTGAGAAATAACACATTACCCGTCATCTGCACCAAAAAGGGACAGTATTGGTATTGGAAGAAATAAATTGCTGTTAACTGGACTATTCATTTTTCTGTGTTTCTATCCATCAGGACTACTGCAGTGGTGAAAGAAGACACTTGGAAAAATAATAATGTAGAGAAACAGATGGTTGGCAGGATCCCCAATACTCTGACAGTGCTCTTACAATGCATTTTTACAAATAAATGTTTATCTAAAATGATAGTGTCTGCATAGATTGTTCTAGCTCAAGAGAGCCTCTGAAGGTCCTTTTCAGTTGGATAGTATTGAGAGAAATACATATTGGTCATGAGTTACCTACCCCAGAAAGGCAACATGACTGCATTGTTATAGAAGTATCAACTGGCGGAGGTAGATGAAGGAACCTGAAGGAAGTGCTGTTACTAAGAGACTTAAGAATTTTCAGCAATTAGTGTAACAAACACACGAAATTTACTTCTTAATTGTCAACATGGTTCTACCATACTTTTTGCATCCTCTACTTCTGACCATAATTAAACATGGTTTTATCTTCATAGGATTGTTAATAAAGAACAGTTATAAGTTTCCTTTAAAAAGATGTTATTACTTTGATGTACAGCAAAACAGGACAAAAAACTCAGAACAATTCATCAGCTACTTCCCCACATTAAAATAAACCTTGGAGAGGGGCGCCCGGGTCACATAGTTGGTTAGGCATCTGACTCTTGGTTTCGGCTCAGGTCATGATCTCAGGGTTGTGAGAAACCCCGTGTCTGGCTCCATGCTCAGTGCGGAGTCTGCTTGAGACTCTCTCTCTCCCCACCGCCCCTACCCCTTGCGTGCTCTCTCTCAAGTAAGTAAATAAATCTTCAAAAAAAAAAAAAAAAAAAAAGAATACATAAACCTTGGGGAAAGTTTTATGGGAAAAAAAAACCCAATGCAGTGATTGAGGAACCTGTTTCCAAAGCTATTTAAATACCTTAGAATTTGGACATTTTAGACCAACACTGTCCGATGGAAATATAAGTCATACATGCAATTGTAAATTTTCCAGTAGCCATATTAATAAAGTAAAAAGCGGGGCGCCTGGGTGGCTCAGTTGTTAAGCGTCTGCCTTCGGCTCAGGTCATGACCCAGGGTCCTGGGATCGAGCCCCACATCAGGCTCCCTGCTACGCAGGAAGGCTGCTTCTCCCTCTCCCACTCCCCCTGCTTGTGTTCCCTCCTCACTGTCTCTCTCTCTGTCAAATAAATAAATAAAATCTTTAAAAAAATAAAAAATAAAAAAAAATAAAGTAAAAAGCATGCCAAATTAATTTTAATGATATACTTTGTTTAACCCAATATATCCTAAACATTAAAATTTCAAAATACAATCATTATAAGAATGAATAGTAAGATACTTTACATTCTCTTTTCCATACTGTTATTTTCAAAATTCAGGGTATATTTTACTAATAAAACATGTTTCAAATCAGATACTGAGTTCAGTTTTTATCAGATAAATTTTTATCAGAAATATTTTATTTGTATTTTGACTCAATATAATCTACAATTTTGAAACAGTAGTTGCATATCACTAAGTTGTTCCAAACATACTAAAAATTTCTCTTATTTTAATTAAGTAAAACAAAAAAAAAATCAGTTATTCATTTGCGTCAGGTCCCCTTTCAAGTGCTCAATGGCTCCACGGAGCCCTGGCTGCAGTCCCGTTTCGCACAGAAGGGCAACGCCCAAAATCTGGACAATTTGACTCTCTTTTGCCTCAAGTGAGCTGAGGGTCTCATAGGAAAAGAAAACACAAACCCTGAGGATTAAGGATTTTTTTTCTGGATTGGCAAAAAGAACATTATTTACAAGTCAGGATGGTAAGTGTTGAGCATAACTGGACTAATACTAAAAACACAACAGATATCCACAAAACAACAGAAGCCCCATAAAAGTATGGATTTTACCATTTTAACTGTACTGCCATTTTAAGGTATAACAAATTGTTAACATAATTATTTTCAGGGTGGGATAAAATCATACAAATATACTAATAAGTAGCAACCTTTTTATAGATCACAGAGATGTGATCTAAAACCTTAAAGCTTCAGATTTTAGCCTTATGTGAACCTGAAGTTTGAAGGTGGAATAATTAAATCCACACTACAAATACTCACTGGTCAATTCTGATCTCATTGCTTGCAAAAACTGGAATGTTAAAAGTCCTCTTAACAGCAAGGCTCATACCTGGATACTGTCGGATGGTGGACACGGAGCTGGTGATTGGGGTGTATGTGTGTGCAGCCAGTGGATATGCAGAAGGTGGGTATGTTGGCAAAAAGTACTGGAACTGAACAGGAACAGACGGTCTACAGATAGAAGACAGATAATATGAACCAAAATGGGTCTACTTTCTTCTTCACTTTCAAATGATCCTATCCCCCAGATCGTCTTCATACCCTTATATGCTATACCAACATTTCCCCAATTGTGTCCCAAATAAACTGTTAGATCAAAGGACACACACCTAGAGAGAGTAATATTTGTAAAAATAAATGGGTACTATCAATACATCCATAAACATAAAAATATGTAGTAACAATTACTAAAACCAATGTAAAAAACCTCAGTAATCAAAGGTTTTCTCTGCTCAATTCCACTTGAAAGACTTTAAGTTTACACTGGCAAATCTTATCAAATACAAGTAAAATAGGTAATCCCAAACTTATACAAACTGATTCAGAAACCAAAAAAAGAAGAAACAAGACCAAACTTAACACAGCCTTGACACCAAAACTAGATAGGGAGAATAGGAGAAAAGATTATATCTCTGCATCAACACAAAAATTACTAAATAAAATGGAATTAAATACTGTATAAAACAAAATATATTATGATCAAATAAGGTTTACCACAGGAAGAATGATTCAATATCAAAATTTCTATGAATGTTTTAGATTCTTTAAAAAATTAAGAGAACAATCATTTAAAATATCACAAAAGATATACAAAAATATTTAATAGAGACATAATACTATAGGTTAGCTATATTAGGATTAAAAAAAAATTACTTCCCCCTCCAAATTTTTATAGCATTCAATACTTACTCATGATATAAATAACTGAAAAAGAGGAATGGAAAAAATCTTTGTTCCTCAATCTGAAAACAGCATCTACCAAAATCTATTCTGAAATTTCCCAAGAATTCCCATTTAGGTCAGGAATAAGATAAGACTGTTCACTATCTCTCCTCTATTCAACATCATATTGGAAGCTCCAGGTAACAAGAGAAACACAGGTATGAAAAATGGAAATGAAAAAAATCCCTCATCCTTCAAAAAACTGTCCTATTTGTAGACAAAATAAAAACCTACATAGGAAATCCAAGAGAATCTACAAACTTTTAGGGCTAACAGGTGTGTTCAGCAAGGTGAATGGACAGAAAGACCAATATATTAAAACCCATAAGCATTCCTACACACCATAATACTCAAACAAGAACATTTATTTATTTATTTATTTATTTATTTATTTATTTGAGACAGAGAGAATGAGAGAGAGAGAGAGCACATGAGAGGGGGGAGGGTCAGAGGGAGAAGCAGGCTCCCCGCCGAGCAGGTAGCCCGATGCGGGACTCGATCCCGGGACTCCAGGATCATGACCTGAGCCGAAGGCAGTCGCTTAACCAAGTGAGCCACCCAGGCGCCCTCAAACAAGAACATTTAAAAATGATCCAATTCTGAAACTACTTCATATGCACTGTACCAGATTCTCACTGGGAGAGAAGAGATACAAATATGGAATGGGGGAGGTAATGGGGTTGAACTAGAAGGATCAGCATGTACTAAAGAGTTGTTTTTTTTTTAAAGATTTACTTTACAAAAGAGTGAGAGCGCGAACTGGGGTAGGGGCAAAGGGAGAGGAAGAGAATCTCAAGCAGGCACCCCACTCAGCATGTAGTTTGATCGGCAGGGGCTCAATCCCACAACCCTGAGATGAAACCAACAGTCAGACGCTTCACTGACTGAGCCAACCCTGCGCCCCTGAAGAGTTTTTATGACATCACATGCTTCCTATTTCTGTCAGCTAAAAGAGCCTGGAAGAAATGACAATCAAGTAGCAATAAACAGAGCTAATGTTCTGGTTTCTAAATGATGAAAAAGAACCAGGGCTCCCTGGAGAAATGGTAGCTTCCAGGGCTCAAACAATATTCAGGAGAAACCTGGAATATTTTGTTGTGGTGGGAAGTAAGGAAGGGGTAGACTGTATGGGACATGGAAAACCCACAGGAACTGGTCTGAAAAAGCTTCCAGAGACGATCTGAGCATCAAAACAGAAGACAATCATGAATTATAATAATGAATAAACTAAATCCATGAGTCCATGCTCATTTAAAAAAATAAAATATACAACAAAATAAATGGGGATAGGTAAAATTTATTTACATAAACATGTCAACTGATAAACGTGGAAGAAATGGTAGAAAAAGTCATTATCTTGCAACCATCATACTGCAACCATCAACTGATACAGCCAAGAATCCTCAACAGATGCTAATGCCACTGAGTGAAAGTTTATTGACGAACAGGGTATTTATAGGCTCCAAGTATTTTCACACAGATTAGTGGTTTACAAAGGAGAAAAATAGGGGCACCTGGGTGGCTCAGTCGGTTAAGCGTCTGCCTTTGGCTAGGGTCATGATTCCAGGGTCCTGGGATCGAGCCCCACATTGGGCTCCCTGTTCAGTGGGGAGCCTGCTTCTCATTCTCCCTCTTCCCCTTCCCCCTGCTCATTCTCTCTCTCAAATAAAATCTTTAAAATTTAAAAAAAAAGGAAAAAAATATACCTTTATAGAAAAATCTGGCAAACATCACCTTAACTAGGTAATTAGTGCTGACAGGGCTAACAATGAGACATAGGGGCGGCATGAGCTCTCTGATGTAGTAACTGTGAGAAGATTGCATCACCTAAGTGGTATTTGCTCTAAAAATGCATAACCTGAATCTGACTTTGAGGAAACAATCTAACAAGCCTAAGCTGAAGAGTATTCTACAAAAACAACTGGCCTAGCTATACTCTTCAAAAATGTCACTGTATGAAAGGGAACGGAAGGCTAAAGAATCATTTTGGATAACTGCACTGTGGTTACGAGAAGGTCTTTGTTCTTTCGGGATGAAAATGAAAGTACTTAGGGATAAAGGGTCATGACGCTGCAACCACACTCTCAAACCAGCTCAAAATAAATCAAACACAGAAACACACCAAATGAAAAAGTAGATACCAGGAGAACATCCATCAAAAAAAGAATGGCTAAATAAACATAGCACATTTTCATAAAATGAAAAATAAATTATACACGGTATTATTTTCAGGAGGAAATCTGAAAATAAGAATAACTATATATACTATATTTCTCGGACATTTTGTGTTATTGAAAAATCAAAACAATTAATGACACAACGGGGCAGTGTAACTGGCACATTCCCTCCTACCTATTATCACTTCGGGTTTCCATGGCCACAGGATTTGGAGAGGCCCGATGACCTGAAATGGGAATCAGGCTACTCCTCTCTGCAGGGTAATCAGGCTGGATCCGAGGAGAAGTGTGTGTGATCTGCTGAGGCACCACCTTAGCTACAAATGCAAAATCCAATCATATTACCTCTCATATGCTTTTATTGGCATGCCAAAACATTTTTGGCCAGCAACAATCTTAAGAACGCAAATAGTATTAAGAAGCCTGGATCTTTAGTTTTAATCAAAATAAAAAAAGAAAGATCAGTACATAAGATTCAACTGAATTATTTCAAGCCAATAATCTACTGATACATTCATATGTTCGTACTGTTATTTGCCAAAGCAGGGTTCACCATCAATACTTTAACAAAAATACCAGCAATCAGGCCCTTTCTCCCTGACCTGTCTTCCTGGAGACCTTTTTTAGAAGGAGAAAAAATTTTAACAACAATAAAAAAAATCAACAAAATTTTGAATACCAACATGGCAAAGACCTTAGCTTCTACTGCAGCATCCATAGCTAATTAGTAATGAATCAATCATTTTAATCTCCAAGTCTCAGTTTCCTCATCTGGGAAGGCCTTCTTTAAATAATCACTTTATTTCCAAGATCCTTTGAATGTCTTGTGATTTTGCACAATACTTTATAGCAAAATCAAAATGACAATAGAGTTTTCAAATCTAATCTGAGGTTCAAAGTTTGCTCTCCTTTAGCATTTGCAATCAAGTTTTGTTTAGAAGGTACAGCTGAACTGGTACATACTTTAGTGTTCTTACAGACCTCTCTGCTAACTCTAGGAGGGAGTATTTGGAAAGAAAAGCTGCAACCTACATTAGATATATAGAAGGACAGCTACCATCTGTGTAAGATCCCAGTTACACCAGTGACAGGCACATAAACACTGGAGACTAGGATGACACCACCACATTACCCAAAGTGCAGTGCACTGAACACCAAAGGTAAGCAGCACAAGCCCACCATGATTCCCAGCTATTTCGTGAGGGAGGCAGCTGGAGAAGTTTCTGCAGGATGATAGCTGGGATGCCCAATTCGACCACTGATGGTGACTTGGCAGAGAGAAGCTGCCATGAAACATTTTCCGTCAGTACTAAGTAGAGGGGGAGCCGAGTGGGAAGCAACTAAGCCTTATTTTTTCACTGTGCCCAATAAAAGGTAGGAGAAAAGAATGCTCCCAATAGGAATGCAGCTGTCAATTGGCAAAGTGGCTAACTACTTGTTGATAAACCATACACACGCCCATGAATTTATATCTGTACTTTTTTCTAATTAAAAAAGACACACATTGTCAATTATCAAAAAAAAAGACTTAAGGAAAAACATAATGCAAAAATTGTTAAGTTGAACATAATGCCACCTCCAAAGATGATCCCTGTTTTCTGAATGCTGTGATCATCTGATTCTGCTTTTTAGAATTCTGACACCACTGTCATATGTGGGCCAGAGCATGGAGAAAATAAAGACGGTATTCTAATGGAAATGAGCATTCATTAAAGGCAAAAACTCTATGCTTATGGTTAATCAGGCTTTTTCCCCGACTAAAAAATGGTTGAACTAAATATTTAACCTCACTTGGAGAAATCAAGTGTCACCTGGAAAAAGCTGCTTAGGTGATTTTAATATATCCACTAAATCCCCACTTGAAAATCAGTGCTCTAGGGTTAATATCAGGTATCCTTTCTCAACTGAGGTACGTTTGTACCGGGATCCTATAGTGACGTAACAAAGAAATACTTGGCTTACTATGAAAGAAGAAGAGAAAACCAGTGCATAAGCCTGATGGAACTTAGATAAAATCTATCACATTTAGTGGCGGATGTTAAATCTGTTTGGACACTTCTGTCAAATGATTTTCACACCTAGAATTTAGCAAATGGTTAAAAATCAAAGATAAAAGAGCTGGGAGATATGGAATATAATACTGTAACTTAAGACTGGTAAAAAGTTGATAGTCTTAGCCAAATGAATGCACATACTTCTGTCTCCTGGTACTCTGAGTTTACTTCCACAGTGTAATCTCTCAGCAAGACACAGTGACATAAATAAGAACTAATCTCTAAATAATTCTTTACAGAGGTGATTCAAGATGAAACCAGAGAGCCCCTATAGGGTACACTGTCCTCCTTTATAGGTCTAATTTTCTCTCTAGCTATAGTGAGACTCTCCACTATAAAAATGGCAAGAATAAGCCTGGTTCTGTTGTTACAATGCTCAGGATAACTGATGACACTGTTAGATATAGTTAGAAAATGTTGTGAAGTGACAGGGAACAAGCAACAATCTTTTTCAACAGAAGTTCATCAATGCTAAAATCACACACTCCCACCCTCCGCCCCACTCTTCTTTTCACAGGAGGGAATGAACCACCTTCACCTTCACCAAGGGGGTAAGAAAGAAGTGTGCTCTCTCTGATGCCAAGCTGCCACGAGCAGTAGCCTGAGAAAGAGCCAGCAGCAGTGTTTTCACTGCTAGAAGCCTACCATGGGGCTTAGTACCAATTTAAGGATGGGCATGGCTGAGTTATCTAAGGGAGGAGGAAGGGTTTCCTGGACTCCACCCTCATTCCAGAAAAGTGTCCTCCAAGTTTGCGCAGAGGGACGTGAAGCTGTCTTACTTGGGAAGGAAGGAACTACCGCAGTGCTGGAACATAGCAGGTGGGGAAGTCATACTTCTATGTCTGGTCACCAGATTTCTGACAGTTAAGTATGTCAGTGTGTCATCTTACAAAAACACTCTTCTAAAAGTTTATGAAAAATATGGCAGCTGTCCCATGTGTCTGGAAGTAAACAGTAAGATGGCATGCTTATTGTCATACAACCAAGGCAAAGCTAATACCAGAAACTAAACCTGGGGCTTGTGAACTAAAGAAAGCAGCACTCTGCCTCAGAAGCCAGTCTCTGCTTTGGAAGCTGTGACAATGAGACACAGCCCCTAGGACAGGTGTCAGCAAACTGTGGGCAAATCCTGCCCGATGCCTGTTTCTGTACGGCCCATGAGCTACATGTGGATTCATACTTTGGAATGGCCAGGGGGGAAAAAATCAAAAGAACATTTCACGACACATGAAAATGATATGAAATCCAAATTTCTGTGTCCATAAAAAGTTCTACTGAAATGTAGCCACACTCATTTGTTTACATATTATCCACAGCTCAGCAGTTGTGACATGGACCTATGACACCTGCAAAGCCTAAAATATTTATTATCTGGCCCTACAGAGAAAGGTTGTCAATCCCTGCTCTTTATGACTCTTTGGCCGCCAGAAACTTTTCAAAGATTTTTAAAAAATACTCAAGGCATATATTTAAAAGGGGAATAAACAAAGCCTAGAAGAAATTTTAGGATGTTCGTGAAGTATCTTGGGGTAGCAGTCAGATGAGAACTGAGGGTAATCAACCCGAGGGTTATCACCCTTCCTGCTGTGCACTGCCCAGAGAGTTTTCCTGAACAATCCATCAATGTACAAGTTCTCCTCATTCCAGATCCTTGCTTCTTTCTTGCTTTTTCTGTGGATCTCATCTAACTATGTCAGTGAAGTTAACTTCTCTTTAAAAGGCACACACAGGAGAGGTAAAATCTGATAAATGAGGAGTCAAAGTTGTGTTAAAATAACATTTACTTTCAGCTCTCAAGGATTATTACCCTCTTTTCCCCACTACGGTCAACACCAAATCTGTATGACAAATATACAAAAATCGAATTCAGTGTTGCTTTGAAAATCAACAATAATTAAAAAAAAACCAAAACACCCAATACTAGCCCTCGATATGAAGACCTCGTCAGAGGGGCTGAAAAATCCCTTTTAAGCTCTGTGTGAAGGCTGCAGGACACTTACCAACTGGGATGTTTGAGGTGGTCACAGCAGTAGCATGGGATGAATGTGAGGGCATTGTCATGGTAACAATTGTACTCGTGGGAGCTTGTGTGTGTGACACAGATCCTGAAATTGGAGAAAAAAAGTCTTCAACAGTGGCCTCTCTACCCACACTACAGATTCTCAAATACCCGAGGAAAGCTCCTGGGAAAAGAGAATTCACCCTATTTTTCTCTGACTGAAGCTGAGAAATGAGAAATTAACTTACCACTCATTCTTCACACCTCCTTAGAAGGAAAAGCAGGGCTGCCAACTTACCGGCCGTGGTAGCTGAAGGAATGGTGTTGGTTGCCAGAATAGGTGCTACTGTTGCTGCAGCCACTGGTGTGCCAGTGCTGAAGATCGTTTTCTGGGGGGGGAGAGGAGGGGGGAGAGGGGGGAGGGGGGATATCCCACGACACAGTTATAAACAAGAACATCTCCCCCTCCATCCAGTCTATTTTATATATTTATTTATTTTAAAGATTTTATTTATTTATTTGACAGAGAGAGAGCGAGAGAGGGAACACAAGCAGGGGGAGTGGGAGGGGGAGAAGCAGACTCCCTGCCGAGCAGGGGGCCTGATGCGGTGCTCGATCCCAGGACCCTGGGATCATGACCTGAGCCGAAGGCAGCCACTTAACAACTGAGCCACCCAGGCGCCCCTCCATCCAGTTTAAAAGCAATCACTGCCTTCAATATTACTAGGTTCTCGGAAAGTTTTGCACAAATCTGGTTTTAACCCACAGCCTCCAAAGATGGGTTGACCTCTGGTTTTACCTGAGCCATGGTATGAAGCTGTTGCTTTGGCGTCCCCAGCGCAGGATGAGATGGCAGTGTGATTCTTGTGGTTACATCCCGTGACTGTGCAGGACGCTGAATACTAATTGCTGCAGACGGTGGATGCTGGATAGACAAAGTTGGCCGGCTGAAATAGACAGAAAAGACATGATTTCTCACTTGTCTCTAAACACAATGCAGGCAGTCCAGGCCATTTACTATCTTGTACTAGATCATCATCATACGGCTGTAGTTTTAGGTCTGTGACATCCATAGGTGAACCAATGAAGTAAATGGCCTGTCAAGTTTCTCTTCTGTAAGTTCCATAAACCTATTTCCAAAGGTATCAATATGCGCCATGAACTGAATCAATTAATCCTTAGTCAATTTCAGCACTCTCAGTATAGTTAACCAACACTCTAGGACAATCTTGAGTAAGCATTATTATAATCAATACACTTCACTCTGTGGACAAAGCTGGAGATACACACTCAGATTTTCACATTACAAGGCAGGATTACAGACAACCCTGATTAACAGTAGCCCACCCCATTGCCCCCAAAGCACTAACCTGCTCTCAATTTCCTATCATTCCTTACCGTATGATTCCTTCAAAAGTTAGCTATGATTGTCTAATGATTCAAAGAGATATCAACACAGAAACCATGTCAAATTAACTGGCAGCAAGCTACTGGAATTGCAGCAGTGGCAAGAAAACTTGACATTATAACAAAGTTGGCTTCTCAAGTCAGAGGGGGAAGAATGGACTATTTAATAAATGATGCTGGGAAGACTATGTAGCCCTTTGAAAAAAATAAAATTGGATCCATGCTTCATGCATTACTATGCCAGGATAAATAAGAGGAGGATCGAAGATTTTACAGCAAATTAAAAAGTACATGAAAAAAATACAGAAGAATTCTTTTATAACCTCAGAATGGATGAGAGCTTTTTAACTACTGAAAGCTTTCAAAATCCAAAAACTACAGAAGATCAAAAAATTTACTCTGTGAACAAATAAGCAAACCTACATAGCAAAACACACAAACACACTATAAGCATGGTCAAAAGACTCAAACTAAAGTGTAATCCTCTTAATATACTAGGAGCTCCTTGCAGTCAATGAGAAAAATAATAGCTCAATAAAAAGCAAAGGATATACATAGCCAGTTCACTAAAGAGAAAACACAAGTGTCTCTTTAACAAAGAAATGATGCTCACTCCCACGCACAGGAAGAGAAATACAATTTAAAATACACGGAGATATCACTGTTCACCTATCAGATTGGCAAACCCCCCCCAAATGGACAGCATAATGTTGTTCAAGCTGCAAGGAAATAGGCACTTCTAAACATTCTGGAAGGAGTGCGAACTGGTATAAACCCTGAGGAAGGTAATTAGTAGGTATTGAAATTATAACTGCATATACCTTCTGATTACTTTTGGGAATTTATCCTACAGGTATTCTTGCACACATAGATAATGACTGAAGTATAAGGTTATTCACTGCAATATTACTTATGATAGTCAAGTACGAGAAACCACCTCAAACCCATTCACACATACAATGGATCACTGTGCTGGTACTAAGAGAACAATGAGGCTGTCTAAGTAATGAAATAGGAAACTTTCAATACATGTTGTTATATTTAAAGAAAGTAAAGAGAATGTATGAGTTAATTTTGGGTAGAAAGGATAAAAATAAGAACTGTATTTAAATCTGACTATATTAACTCTGGAACGACATCCAGTTAGTTATTATCAGGTAACTTAGAAAAGGTAAAAGGGAAGGAACCAGGATCCTGGTGGATGGGGGACAGAGGAGAGAATGACACTCCCTACACATCTTTTTATGCTTTTATATTTTGAAACCACGTGAATACAAATTAAAAAGAAGTGAATAAGCTGAGCTTGTAAGGGTCTAAACTTCGAGACCGCATGTTTCTAAACTAAGCAATGGTTTCATCATAAACATGCTCTTTCAAATGCTTTAAAAACAGACAGGACAGGGCATCTGTGAATAAAATGTTCAAATTGAATGAAGGATGGTTTTCTCTCTGAAGAAAGAGAGCTAAATGCTTTATCATTTGAGTTCAAAGGAAAGCTGAAAAATTGGCCACGGATACAACTATGGAACTTGGTGGAACTCACTGAGGAGAAAGCCTACTACTGGAGACTGGATCTTTATGCTTTCCAGGATGAGCCATTTCCCCAGGCCCATTCCCTACGTTCACCCAAAATGTAAAGGACCTCAAAAGATTTCCTTAAGTGACTCTCATGTTCTCAAGCCAGAAAAAACCTAGAAACCTAAAAACCTGAATAACCTAAAAAGTCCTTGGGTCATTCTTTTTAAGCCTTTCTATTATGCCTCTTCCACTAGTCATTTTTAAAAGGCTGGGAACGAGGAATGGATGTTCTCTGGTAATTTAAATGACCACTCTGAGATTTTGTTTAGGTTTCATTCTCTCTCCACATTATGGCAAAATCCACTTTTTACTATGAATAACACAGCCCAACAGTTACATCCAGAAACACAAAGAAGAAAAATACAAGTTCTGTGGCTATTCCACAGTTAGCCTTCTCAGTCACCGCCAGGGCAGCAGCACACTGGTGAGATGCCTGGACCAGGTGAGCCGGTACGTGGTAGGCCAATTCTGACCAGGACCTCCACTATCACACTGAGAGTTCAAGTACCTCTGTGGCTCCTGAAATTACTGAAGATGACCACTACACCAGCTGTCGTGGGAGTTCAAATGCATGGTGCAGCGTCAAGTGTTGGGTACAATCCCTGCGGAATCAGCCTGAGGATATTACTCCTGATGGGGCAAGTGGAGACGCAGACCTTGCTCAAAGTAACAGGATTCTGAACACCACTGGTCCAGTCAGTGAATAATAATTAGGACTTTGTTTTGCAGCCTGGCTTCTTCCCTGTATGGCTTTCACACCCTCCTGAAAGGTGACTTTAGAATAACATGAGAAGAATGATATTTGCCGACACAGACCACCTGCATAAACTCGTCACTGCAACTATCAGGATGTCTCTGCAGCTTTAACAGATAAAAACCCATTTTGGAGACTGGAGTTTTAATAGTTGACAATGTACTACGCTAAGCACAGTGCCATGTAAGACACCTGCTCCCAGCATTTATGATGAAAACCATTCAGGGAGATATATGTATATATAATTAAAATAATAAAATTTAGGACAGATGAACTTAATTATAAAAATAATTTTGAAGAATCTCATAACGAAGAATAATGTCAACATTCAAATCACCAGGAAAGGGTCTCCTCAATTCACCTTAAACATACTCATATTTAAAAGGTCTGGGTCATAAAAAAAATAGCCAGAAAAGAATATTTATATTAAGTATTTAAATACGTTTTTAAGTGCTTTTGAAAGCACAGACTATAGTACATGGTAGTCTTTGACTTTCATTTACTTTTTTTTTTAAAGATTTTATTTATTTATGTATTAGTGCACGAGAGAGAAACAGCATGAGAGGGGAGAAGATCAGAGGGAGAAGCAGGCTCACCACGGAGCTGGGAGCCCAATGTGGGACTCGATCCCAGGACTCCAGGATCATGACCTGAGCCGAAGGCAGTCGCTTAACCAACTGAGCCACCCAAGCGCCCGCTTTCATTTACTCTTAATGGAAAAAAAAAAACCACGAACATGTCTATAAGGTACATTACATGTTAGGCATATTTTAATTCCTGTACATATATTAATATAAGCACTCCTTATAATGACCTGTGAGGTAGGTAGTATTATTGCCATTTTCTTTCCCCCCCCCAGATTTATTTGAGAGAGAGAGAGAGAGAAAACACGTGCATGAGCCGGGGAGGAGCAGAGGGAGTGGGAGTATCCTCAAGCAGACTCCCTGTTGAGTGTGGAGCCCGACATAAGGCTTGATCCCAGGACTGTGAGATCATGACCTGAGCCAAAATCAAGAGTTGGACACTCAACTGACTGAGCCACCCAAGCACCCCGATTATTGCCATTTCTAGGTGACGAAACTGAGGCATTTACTCTTTGGCCTAGCACTCCCACTTCCACAGATCTTGAAAATACACCATCACAAATACGCAACAGCACATGCTGAAATGTCCATCAGTACATCCATAAGCTGGGGTACAACACAGCTAAAAATAAAGAGAATAAATATCTCTATGTACTGATCTGGATCATCACCAGAATATATTAAGAGAAAAATACAATATGCTGTATTTTCTTTGAAAGTTACTTTTTTTTTTTAAGATTTTTATTTATTTGAGAGAGAGAGCCAGAGAGCAAGCACAAGCAGGGGGAGAAGGAGAGGGTGAGGGAGAAGCAGGCTCCCTGCTGAGCAGGGAGCCCACCATGGGACTGGATCCCAGGACCCTGGGATCACAACCTGAGCTGAAGGCAGACACTTAACCGACTGAGCCACCCAGGCGTGCCCCAGCATGCTATATCTGAGGGACAGAGAGGAGAGTGATATTCCTCACTGTATACCTTTTTGTATATTTTTATTTTGGAAATATGTGAATGTAAATTAAGTAACAGAAAATGTTACTACATATCCCACAGAGAAAACGATCACTTCAAGTGACCTCTGAATATATTCTCACTCCGTTTTGTGGGATCTAGTTTGAACACAAAAGAACGGGGAGGAAGTCTCAAACTTCACACTCAGTCTTATTGTTAGTTTAATCTACAGAAAATAAGAGGTTGATTTAAGACATGTGAACTTGGGACTCGGAATTGTTACTTTCAAACTATTTTTTTTTAATTATGGACCAAAAAACCAAGTAGTTATGTTAATGTCTTGACAGAAGATTTGCAGTGTAAGAGAAAAGATGTATAAATATAAAACTGAAGAAAGAAAAAAACCTGTAATGTTAAATTTCATTTGGAAATATCAGTATGAAGACATGACTGTTTACTGTATTGATTACCTCTGTCCACAGAAAGAGCCCAAAAGCAATGATAACCCGGGAGCAATGTATACCCTTAGCACCCAGATCTTGTGTTCTAATTACCATTCTCCACTAAAAAGAACCAAGAATCGTTGGAGAAATGGCTGATTTCAAGACCAGAGAGGCAGAAAAATAAAAAAGGGCCTCATTTATCATGTACCAAAAAGTAGAAAGTACTCAAAGTCCAAGAGGAGTTATCAAAATGACACTCAAACCAGTTTGAAGGGGTTCTCACTAGCTGAATCTGGGGCAACTGGGAAAAAAAAGGATTTTCATTAAAATACACTGAGTAAATAAAATACCCCTGAGTCCATAGTGGCAACTCACCCCTACACAAAAAAGATCAGAGATTAAGCAGAGTCACTCAGCTAGAAAGTGCTCCCACATCTGTTGTCTTAATCAATATACCCCTTCTCCTAGTGATGAGATTTTCTTTAATGGTCTCAAAGGCTGCTCTAGGGACAGAGACCCAATTTAGAAACTTGACACAGAAAATATGGGGTTAATTTGCAATGAGTGAACCCATGACCATCCTCCAGTGTTGAGCTGGATCTTTGTTTGACTTCTTTAAAGTGAGGACAAGAAGTACTGCAGGCAGAGACTACAGGTTTGGGATTTTCTCCTCCTCTCAGAGAATAGTAACAAAACAAAGAGGAATGCAGTCTCCATCTTTGGCAACATTAAGAGACACCTGAAACCTCAAACCACAGAAGAGGTAGCAGAACTGCCAAGGGCAGTGATACCCAAACGGCGACACAGGAGTCAATGCACACAGGATCTCTGCAGCTATAAGTTAAGGGACAAATCCAGTCAAGTATAATTCTCCAAAGTGAGGAGTGCACTCTGACACAGAAAACCAAAAACTTGTGTTTGTAACAGCAGGAGCTGTCAGTGAAGCAGGACCTGGACACGGATCAGTTCCAGTATCCAATAATCAACGACAAAGGGCTGAACTAAGAACCACACATATGGATAAGCGCCATGTGAAAAACAGCATGTGGTGAGGGGTGCCTGGCAGGCTCAGCGGGTAGAGCATGTGATTCTCGATCTCAGGGTCATGAGTTCAAGCCCCATGTTGGGCGTAGAGCTTACTTTAAACAAACAAACAAATAAACCACACACACACACACAAAAAAGACCCCGGCATGTGGTGAGACCCAAAGAAAAGAGAAACTGCCATCTGGGGCAGTCTATCTTCACTGGCAGGAGAGAAGTACAACCAAGAAAACACGAACAGAGTATCCTGAGTCATTAGGAAAATTTCCCCTAAGCCAGTACACAGCCCAGCCCACAAGAACCAATTACAAATAGCTGATGCAGAATAAGTTCAACTCCACTCAAAGATGAGTACTCAGAAAGCAACCAGCATAAGATCTATTTCATGATGCTACAAGAAAAATGGTGGACAGAAAAAGGGGCATTTTACTAGAAAGGCTTTCACTAAGTAGATGAAAATTGTACCATGAATGAAGAAACGTAATGAAATAACTCCTTCCACAAAATGAAAACACAAAGCAAAGATGTAAGAGCTCACTGGACAAAAGGATAAGACAACAGGAGACAGGCATGGCTCAATAAATAGGCACAGCTCAAGACAGAAACAGAAGAAAATATCCAGCTGCGTCAGGAATGAAGGCAAAACTAAAAGTAGAGCATGACAGACAATGCTGGAAACTCAGTAAGAAACAGAGAAGACTGTGAGAAAATTAAGCAGAATCAAAAGGGAAAAAATTAATAAAGCTTAGATAAGGAAGTTGTGCAAAAAAGATTCAACAAATACGTAACCGGGTGCCCCCCTCACTAAAATGGAACAGAATGAACATACAAAGATACAATTCAATAAAACTGTTCATAAATAGTTTCATGTTGCAGATTAAAAAGGTACACCATGTTTCAGAACAAAACGATACATAATGGTCACTACAAAACACATCCCAGGAAAGTCACTGAAATTCAAAGATAAAGAATCTTAGGCAATCAGGCAAAAATATCAAGATCCTTTTAAGGGATTAAAAAAAAATCAGGCTGGCCTCAGACTTCTGTACATTATCCAGTTCTAGAAGGCAGAGGAAAAATAGTGATAAAATACTCACAGAAAAAAATACAGAAACCAAAAGAATTATCACCTAAACTACTGCTTAAGTATAATGTTACCTGCAAAATGATTTTGAATATGTGAAAACGCAAAATACTGGTCCTCTAAGTCCTTCTTGAAGAAAGTAGCAGAGAATAAATTTCATTCAACCAAGCAATGAACAACAAGAAATGATAAAAAAAAAAAAAACCTGGCACACAGGATTACTCTATTTAACATAAAGAGTAAGACCACTTTTTTTTTTTTTGTAACCTTCCTTCATTTCTATGCCTTGAACCAATTTAATTAATATTGGTTTCTCTGGTCTTTGAGAGTTTGGTAGAATTCAATGAAACTGTCTGGGCCTGGTGCTTTTCGGAAGATACTACTTTGAAATTTTTTTCTATTTCTCCAGTGGACATTGGTCTATTTAAACTTTCTGGCTCCAGAATTCAAAAGGAGCTAGATATTAGAAATTTATCACTGTTAATAGATTTAACTAGAAAAATCATCTGGTCATTAGGGTTTCTGTCTGTTTAATTCACTAGTGCATTTCTAGTGCCCAGAGCAGTGACTGCCACAACGCTGAAAAGACATCTGACAAAATTCAACTGTTTTTACTAAAAACTCAATACACTGGAAAAGACAGATAACTTTGATAACATGGTTTAAAAAAAATTAACTCATTTTCACTGTATACACATTCATAACTTTTGAATTTCTTCATACCATCTGAATATACAGGTAATGTAAAATTAAAACAAACAACACAGTCTACTTTATTTTGGGCAATTGTGTCTCTTTGTACCTCAGGCAATATTTTCAATTACCAGAAAGTGTCCTTATTTTACTGAAGAGGAGACTAAGGAGCAGGAAAGTTGAGAAACTTGCCTAATGTCACACAGCTAGTGAATGATAGAGCTAATGGTTAAATATAAGTCCTAGGTACACTTCTGCATATAAAAGTTGACTTTCTTCAGAGTTCCGTTCCAGGCCCTCTTTTTATTCATTCCCCCTGGAGAGACTCAGATTACCTCAAAGCTTTAACTGTAGCCCACAGGTTGATGACTTCCAAACCCATTCTTTATCTCTGGCACCAACATCTCTTCAATCACCTGCTGACAACTGCCACTTGACTGTTCCATGGATAAACTCAGTATCCTGAAAGTCAACACTCTTTCTTTCCCTTGTTTCCTTTTTATTTACTTGGTCAAACAAGGAAGAAACCAGGGAGGCATCTAGACTTACCACTCTGCCCTGCCTCCAACTGGCAATTGAGAGTTATGGATGGTCTCTGGTCTGACAGCTTTAGTCTCCACGCCTACTACCCCTTCTTCTGTTCAGTGAATGTCTTCTTGTTTATATTGCCAAAGGCACCACATAATTAAACACATGAATCAAAAAAGACCTCCTGGTGAGACTCACATCCCACTGTCTCCCCCCAACTTTCACAGCCTTACCACAATATGGCTTGGGATCAGGACAAACATGTCTTCACCCAATTGTGTCATTTCTAGGAAGCATCACAGATCACTCCTTCATCAGCCAGACTATCCCTGTATGGCTCTATAGTTCTCTCCCTTTTCAGCTACCCAACCCTTCTGTTGCAGCCTCTGAACTTACAGTCCGTTTAGCAAAATCCCCTACATCCTCAATCTCTTCCCTGAATATATCCTTTACCTCCCTTCCCTAATGAATCTGGGTTCTCCCCTGAGAACACTGCTTCCCCCTCCAGCCCTTTCATCCAGGAGACATTTTTTCTCTCATAAACCTCTTCCCCATCTATACAGTCTTCCTAAATAATCTCCTTCATAACTCTCCCCTGGACTCCAAACTCATCTATTAACCAATCTCATCATCTCCACTTGTGTGCTCAGAAGTCAGCACAACCTTCCAATGCCCAAAACTAGTTTGGAATTCCTCCCCAAAACCTACTCTTCCCACTGTCCCTTATATCAAGTTACTTGATATGAGGATTTCAGAAGAATTACGTAGGGGCAGTGAGAGAACAACCTGACTCCTCTTGTTCTCCCACTGCCCCTATGTAATTCCTCTGAAATTCTCAGCCAACTTCAAAACTCTATTCTGAATCTAACCATGTCTTGCCACCTCCAGCAATGATCTCTTCTGGATTCCTACATACCTTTCTAAACTATCTCTCCATTTCCAACTTTGCCTCTCCAAAGTAGCCAGGCTTCAGACCATCACGCTGCTCTGCTCAAAATTCTGCTAAGCCTTCCCGTTGCACCCCAGCAAAGTCTAAACCTGTAGAGGGCTTCTGAAGGCCCGAATCTGGAGACCCTGTTACCTCCTAAAATAATCTCTTGCCACTCTCCTACCATTAGTCTCTTGCTTCTCCTTACTATGGCAAACACACTCCTGTCTTGGGCCTTTACACTTATTGTTCCCACTGCTTAGAATGCTCTTATCCCATACAGCCACATGGCTCACTTCAATACATCTTTCAATTTTCTGCTCCAATCTATTCTTAAGAACAGTGCTCCCAGATCACCGTACAGGAAATAGTAAGCCTGTACGCCTAACCTGTCACTCCAAATCCCACCCTATCTAATTTTTCCCCAAAGCACTTTTCACCATCTAAAAAACTTCATTTTTCATTTGTATATCTCCAGCAACAGGCTCTATCTCCAGCATCTAGGACACTACACAGCTCATAAAAAGCGCTCAATAAGGATTTACTGAATTAAATGAAAGGAAAGGAAAAAGGGAAAGGAGGAGGGCCTGATCTCCAAACCCTCAAATATACCTAAGTGCTGAATCAGTAGCATGTGCTGCAGTTGTAGTAATAACTGGAGACTGAGCTCTGGTGGCTGAGACAGTTGCTACCACAGCAGGAGGGATGGTATTAGAGGTGGTCACAGGTGGACGAGACTACCAAGAGAAGAGAAAAAATATTTCATTTAAAACAAGAAGCAAAATAAAATACATTAAGCCAAACAATGAAAGTATAATTTGAAACTTGGGCCTTCAAATAAGCATGTTTGTGTCCAAATGAAAGCAAATTCTCACCATTCTGATTAAGGAATTCTCTTTTCAGATAGGTAATTTTAACACCCAAGAGACAGAATTACCAAAAATTATCCTATTTTGGCTGGATGGACTATATAAATTCCTCCTTTCCAAGTAGGACTGGATGAAACATTTTGTCCTATTAATAGGAGTTGGGATCCAACCCTTCAGATCTAGAGTACCCAAAGATTTGTTGGTCCTGCTGTAGACATTTTACACTACCACACAACCAAGTGCTTTCCACAGGGGGATCTAAGCCGTCGGATGGAACTGCTGGCTCTCAGTCCCTCTAAGCCAGCAAACACATGAAAACAGCACTTGCCTGCGGAAGATTCAGGGTGCCCAGATGTTCTCTGGCTGTTTTCACATGGAAGTACTTCCCATACCTTCCCCTATACTACATCTGTGTGTAAAATCTTCACCAAACGAGTTCTCCACCCTGGGCTTCACCTGCTTGTCCACCATCGATTCTTTCCATCATCTGAGCTCTCCTGAGTAGTCCCTTTCTTGACCCTGATACACACAGTTAAATTCGCAAATGCTGCCCATTCTGGATCTACCTCTCACTTCCAGACCTTTTACCTGTTGTGCCTGCTGTTACAGCTTGTTGTCGCACAGTAGGATCGTCACACTATCTTCAGTGAACTCCTTGTCCTGGTTCTTTCTCTAATCTCTTCTGTATACCATTTACACTCCAGGGGCCTAATGAGTCTCCAAATGTGTTTTATTAGCCAGCAAGGTCTCTTATTTTGTTTTAAATTGAAAACTCTATGCTGGACATGTACTACCCTGTGTCCTACTCAGCACCCTTCCTTATTGTCTTAAATCCTGCTGTTCCACATACATTACCAGTCTGGCCCCCAAAAGTATCTGAATTTTCATCTCCTGTCTGTGATTCAGCTCATTAATCTTTCAAGGGTATTTCTTTGATCATACGTTACTGTGTTCAAAAAACTTAGTGGCTCTCTGTTGTGTACAAAATCAAATTTATACTCTGTATCTTAGAGCTCTGAATTTAGAGACATTACAATGTCACATCATAACACACTATATCTCAGTAGTACTGAGCTCACAGATTTCCTTGAAAAAAAGTTGAAAGGCACAGACCGTCTTCCTTGAAAAGCATGCGCACGTGCATAACGTGCACAGAATACGCAGGGGCTCATAAATCCTGGTCTGAACAAAAAACTCTCAGTTCTGGCTCGCCTCTACTAAAGCCTGTACGTAACCACCACCATTCACAGTACTGCTCCCTTTCACTGCCTCTCCACTTCTCTGAATCCCTGTTACCACACCCATCCCAGCAAGAGCTTCCCTTACCACAGCTCCTCTAAATCCCGACGGCTGATCACATCACAATGTATAGAACTCAACTTTCCCGGCCGCCTCTTGGCAACTACATCAAAAGCCACTTGAGGTCAGAGGACTCTCCCAGGCTCTAGCAGAGTCAAGAATTGAGTAGGCACCTAGTACTTGCGAGCTGACTACCCACAACCTGACGTGCCTGGATTGGTTGGTGAATGATGTGCTGTACTGCTGGCTGAGCCGTAGCAGCGTTTGGCAACTGGGAAGTCGGCCTCAGGACTGTGGTTACTTTAGAACTGGACATCACAGCAGCAGCAGCTGCTCCTGGAAAAAAATTGTTTGCATTAGTATGGCGTAGCGGCTCACAGTTTACACGGTTCCAGTTATATGCCCTAGGAAAATAGTGTGAATCGTTTCTAAACCTCGGTAAGTCAGTAATTTAGCAGAGATGCTGTATGTGTATTTCCCTTCCCTCACGCAGAAAATTAGAAAAATGTGCACTCAGTTGTGATTTGATAAGATTAATAACCGGTCTTGCTTTTTCAAGGACATTCTTAAATGAAACCGGCTGTTGTTTTTTTTCACTACAAGTATGTAGAAGAGAAGCACACACTGAATAGCAGAGCGTGGTGCCACCACCTTCATTTGGGCCAAGGCTCCAGCAGCGTAACCACCAGGGAGGGTTCATTTGAACCACCACTGCCTTTGTATTATCAGCGCGAACATCAACACGGTACGAGAGGCAAATGAAATCTTAGTATTTTCATGAAAGTAGTTTTGCCCTAACACAGACCCCCTTGCAGTCTATGAACTTCACTCTGAGAACGACTGAATTATGTTACGACCAAGTAAACCTGGTTTTGTACTTGTGAGCCTGATTTTGCCAACAATGATTTAACACTCGCCAATAGAAGGCTACAATTTCTGATCAAGTAGTTGAGAAAACTCATTAAATTTAATACGTGACAACCTATTAGAACTTAATTGTAAGAATAAATTCATCTTATGGCTATGTTACTCGAGTAACCATCATCACTAAACTTTAAGAATAGTCAGTATTTGTATTTCTGACTTTCTCATTAACAACAAAGACCATTATGGACTATCACAGCTTTGAGGAGTTCCTCATTACAAAGGACAATCTTTAGACCGTACTAAAAATTTGAATTGCTTTAAGTTTACACACACATCATACACACGCTTGTTGAAATGCAACTATAATTCGCATATACTAGATCACACTTAAAATGTGTATTGTTCTAAGTTTATTTCTGTTGTCCTGTAACTTTAGTAAGATGATTCCAGACACATTTTGTTAACGGTAACAGAAATCTCTTACCAAATACGTATCTGCCACAGCACTTTGAGAATTTGAACAGAATGTGCAATTTTTACCTCGAGGTAAATGAGAAGCTCCGATGTGAAGAGGGGGCCCAGGAGCGTTGCTGCGGATAATAGACATCTGTACATTTGTGGTCATGATGTGATGCAGGTTACTGGGATGTCCCTGCAAGAAACAGGATGTAATATTATTTTCATGTGCTTGGTTTTAGCCATTGATGCTTAGCCACTGCTTCTAGGAGGTCAGTTGCCTCCAAATGTGGGTCAGGGTATTCCTTTTAGACAGTGAGTATCCCCAGGGAAAGGACATTTCGCTTTTTTTTTTACACAACATACTGCATGATGACCTGTGCCAGCAGGCATGTGGTGACTGTGAGGACCCTTCAATGCCTCAAGCCTAGCTAGGTGCTAGATCTTTAATAGATGGACACATCTGACTGTCCACTTTGGGACACTCTCATCTTCAGTATTAGTTTTTCACACTTGTTTTCTCTGCCTTGGCCAAAAGCTTATTTTTTCCTATCCTATTTTCTTTACATGCCACTGCATTCCTTTACGCTATGCAGGACTTCTAAGTAAATGTCAATTAGTACCCAGCAGGTACTCCCCTACAAGTTCTTCAGCTCCCCGCTTAGCTGTCCCTTCCTCACATGCTCCCAGCCCTGACGCCAGTGTTTCCCAGGTGGGGGTTCCAGTACTGCTGGGAGTACTCAGCAGTACGATAGAAGAAAGAAAACATAGCGTGTCTTCTTGGAATACCAATTTTTTCTTGAAAACTTGAAGGGAAAGGTTTTAGATTCAGGTTTTTTCACTCTCAGTAATTCAAAATATTTAAGTAAATCACATACACGTTACGGAGTAGGAGTAGAATTTCAGGAAAAAATTTAAGTTAAAACATGAGACTATGAATAAGTGTTCACGACTGGTGAGCTGCTTGAGGGAACCTCCTAGGCGCCCAAGAGATACACATTCATTCTCCTCAGAGAAAATCCTAGAAATGCACTACTGTCATGAGGCTATTCTCAATCCCACACAACTGGACTCTGAGCACCTCAAGGATACAGAATGTCTTATCTAGATTTGTATCTCACACTGAGGGTGGTGCCTCACACACAGCAGATGCTCGATACATACTGGCCAAATGACAAACACCACTGTGCATGTTGGTTTTACTTCCTGCAGATATCCTTCTCTCTCAAACCTACTATCTTCCCCTTCCAGATATCAGTGACCATTTAATTTTTTATTTAGTACAGTGCCTAATGTACTGCTGGCATTCAATAAATAATGATCAACAGTTTGGCATCTCAGTTTGAAAATCAGCAAATTAAGAGGAAAAAAACCTGTTGTCCACTGATTGTTGCCACAGGAATGGCTGAAGCTTGAGGGATGCTACTCTCCATGGTAACGGTAACCTGCCCTGGAACCTTGGGGGGAAGTGACAAGGTAGAAGGTGGAGCAGGAGCAATGGGACGGCTAGGCATGGTGGGCTTCGGGGGCGGCTGCAAACAGAAAACCACACGAAACATATCAATAGCTTTTTACGAGTGATGCATTTCATTCTATAGTTAAGAGTACACAAATCAAACCTGGAGAGTGCCAGGAAAGATCCAGAAGCCTTATATATTTTATCTCTTAGCATCACAGCTTTTCCACTGAAGTACCAGCATTTCCATTTTACAGATGAAGAAACATACAAAGCAAGGCTATGTCACCTGCTCAAAGCCATGCAGACAGTAAAAACTGGAACTGGGACAGAGGCCCAGATCTGCATGGCTCACAGCCCACATTCTTTCTTCTATACAATGCTGCATCCCACATTTGGGCGGAAGTAAACAAAACTCCCAGTAACTGAACCATAACCACGAGGTAATATACAAGGCGATATTCTCAGATATCCCCAAATTAGCAAGCTTTAAAACAAAACCTTGGAGAAGAGTGCCACTCCAAGATAAAATTGAGTTAGCATGCCCATAACTTGAATAAAATCAACGTCAAGACAGATACTAGAAAAGATCCTGTGATGCCAACTGCCCAGCGGCACAAGACTAGGCACTGCAGAACAGCAGAGCTCTAAGTGACAGAGAAGAGCTGAACTGATGGGTCAAAAAGAAAACACTAAGATCCTGGATACAGCCTAAGACTTTGTGAAAATTGTCAGGAAGATTAGCCAGTCTTTAAGTGGTTTAATGTGAAATTTTAAACCTCTCCATTACCTTCATAAGTCCCTCGGAAAAGGAGAGTGGCACTGCTGGCGTCAGATGTGCTGGTGGGGCTGTCACTGTGACGGGTGTGCCCGATGCAACAGCATGGTGTGTAGACAACATCTGCACCTGTGGATAGGGCCTTACCACAACAGGCTCTTGCTTCTCTTCGCGGGACTGTAGGGAGCTGCTGGAACCCATGTGCTCCCTGGCAGTGACTTCAGCCTCTCGACTAGATTCATCGTTGACTAGTAAGGATATTAAGGGAGAAACAGCATGTCATACGCTTCCAATATTAATATTAATGAAAGGCACAGGATACACAAGAGTGGCACTTGCAACTAAGTTTCAGGGTTGATAAAGTGACCCTTTCCTTGTGAGATTTTCTTCAGGAGAATCTGGGCATGAGGTTCCCCTAACAGATATCAAACCCAAGAGCCACACCTATAGAACACAGGACTGACTTTGGCTACTGCGACTTTTCCACTCCTGTGAACAAAGGGCCTGATAACTACCTAAAATGAACTCAAGGGGCACCTGGATGGCTCAGTTGGTTAAGGGTCTGCCTTCGGCTCAGGTCACGATCTTGGGGTCCCAGGATCAAGCCCCACGTTGTGGTCCTGCTCAGCGGGGAGCCTGCTTCTCTCTCCTCCTCTGCTCTTCCCTTTGCTTGTGCTCTCTCTCAAATAAATCAATAATCTTTAAAAAAAAAAAATGAATTCAGAAGAGCAAAACTAGATATGATGCTTTCATTTAAGGTATTTATTTAAAAACTTATAAAAACCTAACATTAAAACAATAATTTAAATACAATTCTTTTTTTTTTTTAATTTTACTTATTTACTTGAGAGAGAGAGAAAGAGCGCACGCATGTGCACGACTAGGGGTAGGGGCATAGGGATAGGGAGAAGCAGATTCCCCACTGAGTGTGGAGCCTGATGTGGGGGGCTTGACCCAAGGACCCCAAGCCAAAGTCAGACAGTTAACCAGCCTAGTCACCTAGATGCGCCCAAATACAATTCTTAAGTCTAAGAATTACCCATTTTACTGTTAATAGGTTTTCAAAACAAATTTCCTACAAAGCAAACATGGAAATCTCCATCATTATTACAATGCACACAGCCTTTGAAACTCAACAATTCCACTTATAGGTATGTATCCTATAGATATATGGCGTATGTATAAAATGACTTGTGTACAAGATTGTTTGTTTCCCCATTTTTATTCCAGTAAAGGAAGTTTTAAAACCTACATGTCTATCAACAGGGGACTCACTATATAAATTATGGTATACTCCCACAAGAGACTACCATGCAACTATAAGAATAAAACAAGGAAGCTTTTTAGGTACTCTCATGAAAAAACTGATAGTGAGCATTATGCAAAAATATCTAAGAATATATAGATGAAAAAAGCAAGGTACAGAACAGTGAAAAAGTAATGAAATATACACAAACATATATGTGTTTATTTTCCTATGTAGAAACATAACTCCCAAAGCATCTTCATTTCTTGACAGGAAATAAAGTGGATTCTGGGGTAACAGGGATAAGAGAAATACTTTTCACTGTATACTTTGGGAATTCTGAACCATGAAACATGTAACCTATTTAAAAACTAACTTAAAAAATCAAGGACCTAATCTAGTAAAAGAGAGTTTGTGAAAATATTATCTCATACGTGTCTATTGTTTCCCCAAAATAATATTAGAAAATAGAGATTACACTTACGTAAAAAATTTTAAGTATCTGTAAAACTACGAAGAAAATAAAGATGCTCCCAAAGTCTAACCAAGAGTTAATACGTTGGTAAAACCTTGAGACATTTCTTACCTCTTTAATTTTGGGTGGGTTTTTATTTATGCAACTTTTCAGTGAACTATAACCTTCATGAAGTGCACAAATGTTAATTGTATAGCTCAACGAACTTACACAAACTGAATACACCTGAGTAACCAGCACCCAGCTCAAGATGCAAAACATTCCCCAGAAGCCCTCTGTTCAGCTGGATTCCTCAATATCCCTTCTAAGGATACTCACTATCCTAACCCCTAGCACCACAGATTACTGTTATCTATTTTTGAACTTTATATAAATAGACTCATTGCAAATGTACCCTGTTGTATCTTGCTTCTTTCACTTACAAGTATGAGATCCATGAATGTCATTGCATGTAGCTGCACATCTTTCATTGTCAGTATAGTAGGTCATTGTGGGAATCAACTACAAATTACCCATTTTACTGTTAATAGGCATTTAGATAGTTTTCAGCTTTTTGCTATTATGAGTAGTAGTGCTAGTAATACTCCCACATATCTTTTGGTGAACTATTTACCATTTCTCTTGGATATATACCCAGAAGTGAAATTGCTGAGTATTATTGAATATATACTACCTCATTAAAAAAATGCTAAATGAAATTCCATTGCATAGATATACTATAGCTTTTTGTTTTTTTTTTTAAGTAGGTCCCACGCCCAGCATTGAGGCCAGCGTGGGGCTTGAACTCACGACCCAGAGATTAAGACCTGAGCTGAGATCAAGAGACGGACGCTTAACCAACTAAGCCACCCAGGCACCCCAACTATAGCTTTTTTTAACCATTATATCACCAGTGGGCTTTTAGGTTATTTCTAAATTTTTTGCTATTATCAACAACTCAGATAAAAACCTGTATGTACTTTGAGTCCTTGTTCAATGATTTCCTCAGGAAAAAAAATTTTTGAAAATACATGTGCTGGGTGAAAAGACTGATCTATATTTTACATTTTGTTATATATTGATTATTCTCCCTGATCATTCAGATTTTTAAAAAATTTTTATTTTTAAAACCACTTTATGGGTGATGGGTATTAAGGAGGGCAGTTGTGATGAGCACTAGCTGTTACATTTAAGTGATGAATCCCTAAAATGTACACCTGAAACGAACATTACCCGATATATTAACTAGAATTTTTTTTAAAACTTGAAATCAAAACAAATAAAACCACTTTATTGATGTACAATTTACATACAATAAAATGGCTATTCTAAGAGTGGAGAGTTCAACAAGAGTTTTTTTTACATTCTTACCAACAACTTAGGAGCAGAATGGCTGGGTCAAATGGTAAGTAAATATTTAACTTCATGAGACTGCTGGAATACCTTCCAAAATGGTTGTACCCATGTTATGTTCCTGTCAGCCAGTGTATTAGAGTTCTGGCAGCTCCTCATCCTCCAATTCTTTTTTTTTTTTTTTTTTAAAGATTTTATTTATTTTTTAGAGAGCGAGCGAGAGAGAAACAGCATGAGAGGGGCGAGGGTCAGAGGGAGAAGCAGGCTCCCTGCTGAGCCGGGAGCCCAATGTGGGACTCGATCCCAGGACCCTGGGATCATGACCTGAGCCGAAGGCAGACGCTTAACCACCTGAGCCACCCAGGCGCCCGCATCCTCCAATTCCTGATACATAGATATTCTAGTGGGTGTACAGTGGGTCTCTCACTGTGGTTTTAATTAGAATTTCCATGACTAGTGATGTTGGAAATCTTTTATGTGACCACAGGCCATTCATATATATCTTCCTTTGTGAAGTGTATGTGTCTATCTTTTGTCCGTTTTTTAGTCAATCAGCTTTACTGAGATACAATAAAAACCCCACTAATTCTTTATATAAAATTAGATAAAAGTTTACAAAAGTAGACAGTACTACAGGGCTCCTGTGTGGCTCAGTTAAGCATCTGACTCTTGATTTCAGCTCAGGTCATGATCTAAGGGTTGTGAGATCGAGCCCTGCATTGACATTATCTCCCTCTGCCCCACCCTCTAAAAAAAAAAAAGTATACAGTACTGTAACTACAATAAAATCACGATACAAAACATTTTCCACTATTCTCACTGGTTCATACATGCCCCTTGGCAGGCAATTCCCTCCCTCCCACCCTCCTATCCCTCAGAAACCACTAATCTGCTTTCTAACACTACAGCTTTGTGTTTTCTGGAATTTCATGCAAACAATCATACGATATGTGGTTCTTTTTTTTTTTTTTTTAACGATTTTTTTATTTGAGAGAGAGAGCACGTGTGTCAGTGCGTGGGGGTGGGGAGAGAGAGAAGGCAGAGGGAGAGAATCCCAAGCAGACTCCCCACTGAGCCCAAGGCAGGGCTTAATCCCAAGACCCTGAGACCACGACCTAAGCCGAAACCAACAGTTGGGACGCTCAACCAACTGAGCCACCCAGGCGCCCCAGTACAATATGTGGTCCTTTGTGTCAGTCTGCTTCCCTCTCTTAGTACAGTTGACCCTTGAGCGACATGGGTTTGAATTGCATGGCTTCACTTATATGTGGATTTTTTTTTTTTTTTAGATTTTATTTATTTGCGGGGGAGAGAGAGAGTATAAGCGGGGTCAAGGGACAGAGGGACAGAAGAAGCAGACTCCCTGCTAAACAGGGAGCCTGATGGGGGGGCTCAATCCCAGGACCCTGGGTTCATGACCTGAGCGGAAGGCAGATACTTAACCAATTGAGCCACCCAGGTGCCCCTATGTTGATTTTGGTTTTTTTTGGATAAATACAGTACAATGCTATAAATGATTTTCTCTTTCTTATGCTTTTCTTAATACATTTTCTTTTCTCTAACTTACTTTATTATAAACGTACAGTATATAATATAAAATATAAATATTTATTGATTGTTTATATTATCAGTAAGGCTTCAACAGTAGGCTATTAGTAGTTAAGTTTTTGCAGAGTCAAAGTTACACTCAAATTCCTGACTGCATAGTGGGTCAGTGACCCTAACCCCCAGGTTGTTCAAGGGTTAAGTGTATATGTTTTTGAGGTTCTTCTATGTTGTTCTATATACCAGCTGTTCGTTCCTTTTTAATGTTGAGTAGTATTCCATTGTACATATAAACCAAACTTTATCTAGTCACCAGCTAATAAATTCTGGATTGTTTCCAGTTTTTGGCTATTATGAATACTGCTTCTATAAACACTGAAGTATTGGTCTTTCGACATACATTTTCATTTATCTGGGTAATACCTAGGAATGGGACTGCTAGGTTGTATGGTAAGTTTATATTTAACTTTATAAGATACTGCCAAACCATTTTCCAAAGTGGTTAGATTATTTTGCATTCCCACAAATAATGTATGACTTCTACTTGTTCCACAAACACATCAAACTTGGTATTTTTAGTCATTCTAGTGGATGCCTACTATTTTCTGTGGTTTTAATTTGCATTGCCCTGAGGATTAATACTATTGAGTATCTTTTATGTGCTTATTGGACATTCAGATAGCATCTTTGGTGATGTGTCTATTCAAATATTTTGCCCATTTTAAAAAAATCAGGCTGTCTCATATAGCAAAAGCTACTGAGTTACAAGGGTTCTTTGTATATTCAGGATATAAGCCCTTTGCAGATAAATTTATTGCAACCATCTTCTCAATTTGTGGCTTGCCTTTTTATTTTGTTAACGTCTTTTGAAGAGTAGACATTTTTAATTTTAATAAAGTATAATATGCCAGTTGCTGTTGTAATTAGTGTTTTTTGCAACCTAAACAATTTTTGCTCACCCCAGGGTCATAAGCAGTTCCCATGTTTTCTTTTAGAAATTTTAAGTTTTACATTTTTTTTATTTTTATTTTTTTTAAAGGTTTTATTTATTTGAGAGAGCGAGAATGAGATAGAGAGAGTATGAGAGGGGGGAGGATCAGAGGGAGAAACAGACTCCCCGCTGAGCAGGGAGCCCGATGCGGGACTCGATCCCGGGACTCCAGGATCATGACCTGAGCCGAAGGCAGTTGCTCAACCAACTGAGCCACGCAGGCGCCCCAAGTTTTACATTTAGATCCACGATACATGTGAGTTAATTTTTGTGTATGGCGAAAGTAAAGGTCAAGGTTCATTTTTTCCATATGGATATTCTGGTGTTCAAGCACTATTTTGTTTAAAAGACTATCATTTCCCTATTGAATTATCTATGTACATTTGTCAAAAATCAATTGACCATTATGTGTGGGTCTATTTCTGGATCCTCCACTTTTCAGTGATCTATTTCTATCTTTATGCCAATATCACACTGTCTTGATTACTGTAGCTTTACAGCAAGTCTTAAAGTAAGGTAGTAGAGTCCGCCAACTTTCTTCTTTTTTTTTTTTTTTTTTAGGGGTCAAACTTGCTTCGGCTGTTGTAGGTCCTTTGGCTTCCATATAAATACAGATTCAGCCTGACAATTTTTACAAAAGGACATAATAGGATTTTGATTAGAATTTTTTTTTTTTTAATTTACAGATCCCTTTGGGTAGAATTATTATCTTAAAAATACTGAGTGTTTCAATAGATGAGCATGATTGATCATTTCATTTATCTAGGTCTTTAATTGTTCTCAGTCACGTTTTTCATAGTTTTCTAACCCCAAGTCTTACATACATTTTGTTAATTTACCCTTAAGTGCTTTGTGGAGTTTTTTTTGATGCTATTGTAAATGACATTTAAAAAACTTCATTGTTCATTGCTAGTACTAAAAATAACTGGTTTTTATACACTGAACTTTTATCCTGCAACCTTTACTAATTTCACTTATTAGCTCTAATGGCTTTTTCAATATATGATCTTTATAGATGATCACGTCGTGAACCTTCCCTGTTGTCCAAACAGATTTTTCCTGATTAAATTTTTAAGGGAAATGGACAATTTTGTTAACTTTCCCCCAAACCTATTTGTTCAGGAACATTTTGATTTTTGACAATTTCATTATAATATAATGTACTGACTATTCCCTGTTAAGCTCTTTTTAGAATCATTTAGAACCAAAAGAAAGAATAGTTAAGAAAACTTGTTGTAATCCATACTTCTGACCTTTGAACATGTATTTGAAATTCTGATATGCTTAGGATCCCGAATTAGTTCTTCTAATAAAAGCAATTGGAAATATAGAGTAATATTTAACTCCTTACGGAAAAACTTTTATTTTCTTTCTCAGAGTCACTGAAGGAAAAAACATACACACTATTCAGAAGTAAAATTACAAACAATTTTGGTCTAAGTCAATGATTTCTTTCTCAACAAAATCTGAGGGCAATTATTGCTAATTGACACCCTTTTTTGTTTTGTTTTTAAAGATTTTATTTATTTATTTGACCGGCGGGGCGGGAAGCAAGCACAAGCAGGGGGAGCAGCAGGCAGAGGAAGAGGGAAAAGCAGGCTCCCCATGGAGCAGGGAGCCCAACTCAGGGCTCGACCCCAGGACTCCGGGATCATGACCTGAGCCAAAGGCAGATGGTTAACCGACTTAGCTACCCAGGCACCCCTGACACCGTTTTTAATAAGCAATATAATTCTTTGTAAATAGACATTCAAGAATATTCTCTTTAAGCTACACTTCTTTAAATTATTCTATGAATTTATATCAAAGACAATTTGTCAAAAATATCTGTTTAGTAGCAAAGAACTTTAAGTAGCTCTATAAGGACTTGTTGGCCACTATTTTTGTGCCCTACAATGTAGCAAGTATAGCACATACAAAGGTACACAAGGTTCCAGGTTCCAGAACATGATTCCAGCCTTCAGGTACTACCCCTGACTCCTGTGGCCTAGTCACAAAGACCTCCTAGAGAAAGTGACATCGGAGATGAAACTCAAGGAAGGACAGGAATTAACCAGATAAGTAAGTGTGTAAAGGAAGAAGGAAGATTGTGTATAAAGACTCAAGGTCAAGAATATTGGGAACTTTTTGTCATTCGTTTAGAAAACAAGTAGTTACTATTAAGCAGGAGACAAGAAGTAGCTTAAAATTACTTCAAGTCTAAAGAGAACTCAGATAAATTTGTAATAAAAAGTAAGTTGGCTGGAGGGAAGCAAAGGGACAATGAGGCTGAAACATCAGACAAAGGTCCACAGCTCACATATAACAGCCAGAGACAGAGCAGTTAAAGATGATGCCAGTGTTCCTGGTTTGAGCAATGAGCAGACAGTGATACCATTTACCATAATAAGGAACTTAGGAAGCAGCCGGTGAAGAAAAAGGAATAGAAAAAGGAATACTTTACTTTGCAATGTCATCTTTTTACTTGATATATATATAGAGAGAGAGAGAGAGAGAGAGAGAAAGACTACTTGAAGGAGTACCTCAACTTTAGCACTGTTGACTGGACCAGATACTTTGTTGTGGAGGGCTGTCCTACCCATTTTGGATGTTTAGCAGCATCCCTGGCCTTTAAATATCAGATGCCAACAGCACCCCCTACTTGTGACAACCAAAAATGTATCCAGACAATGCCAAATATTCCCTGGACTGCAAAATCATCCCCGCTGAAGACCACTGATCTACAGCACTCAAAGGGCATACCACTAAAAACTAAGTGCATATATGTGTATATATTCAGTTGACCCTTGAACAATGCAGGGGTTAGGGGTGATGACCACACCTGCAGTTGAAAATCTGCATATAACTTTTGACTCCCCAAAAGCTTAACTACTAATAACCTACTGTTGACTAGAAATGTTGCCTGTAACAGTCAATTAATATGTATTTTGTATGTTACATATATTATATATTCTTACAATAAAGCTACAGAGAAAATGTTATTAAGAAAATCATAAGGAAGACAAAATACATTTACAGTACTGTACTATGTTTATCAGAAAAAACTCACATGTAATGGACTTGTACAGTTCAAACCTGTGTTTTACAAGGGTTGACTGTACTTTTTCTTTTAAACCTTCTTTCCTAGCTCATAGGCTCCTAAAAGGCAAGAACTATGCCTTAAACACCTTTGGACTCCCCCATGGCACTCTTATACCTCTGGGCCTTAAAGGAGAACACATTAATGTATTTAAAATATAGTTCTCATAGGCATGCTTCGCTGTAAGTTTCACGTATACTCTAGTATACGTGAAAGGATTAAAAAAGGAATTAAAAAAAAAAACCCTTGTTTATTTATAAAGGGAGGAGGGGCAGAAGGAGAGGGAGAGAGACACTCTTAAGCAGGCTCCATGCCCTGCGCAGAGCCTGACGTAGGGCTCAATCTCACAACCCTGAGATCATGACTTGAGCTGAAATCAAGAGTCAGATGCTTAACCAACTGAGCCACCCAGGCACCCTCAACAAACCTTGTTTAAATTAGAACTGTAATATATCCTTTCTCCAAATTCAATAACCTAGTACTTACTAAAATCCCACAAGAAATTTGCTAATTTTTAAACGAAAAAAAACTGGCAATATTCTTAAAGCAAGAAGCGATAGAGAAGACTGTCACATCTCACCTGCGGCAGCTGGGTTTATCAATCCTGCAGAACCACTGTTTGCAATCTGTGAAGGAGCTTGGCTTAGCCCAGTGGAAGGGGTTCCTAACCGAGGAAACTGCTGAGAACTCATTTCCACCTGCAGTGCATACAGTCACATGGTTATTACTAAATTCTCACATTAGAATCAATAATGAGAAATTAAAGCATCTCCAGTACCTATACTTTCCCTTAGAAAAGCAAATGCAGCTTCATGCACCTAAAACGATTACTTGTGATCAACATACGGTGCAGAAATGGTCTAAATTCTGTAAGTTTTTAAGGGACATGGATTCAAGTAATAGTAAAATCGTTTGCGTGGTGTTGGGGTATACTATCACACTCTGGAAATACAGATTACCACTCTAAAAAATCAACACTGAATTCTGTACAACAGCCATATAATGGGTATTAACCCAATACATAGGTATCTGTATAAAGTTCTATGGAAAACAGCATATTCCTTTGAAAGACTGAAGCTCACACCAAGGTGAACACAACTGTCATCAGTATGTCATAGCAGGAACCCGGGGGGAGATGCCCTGCTCTAAGAAATCGGAAAGCTTACATCAAGACCTAATCCAAAAGGAACTCTCAAATGGTTTTCTGCACAGGCCTCCATTTACCGATTTCCTCCCCCTTTTCTCATAGACCCCCTACTGAGCCAGAGGGACCAGAGACCTTCGCCACTTTCTCTACAATCGACCCCCACTTTTCCCTCAGGAGCCAAGCTCTACCGATGTTCCCAATTCGCACGCAACCCCACCCCCACCCCGAACCCCACCGCTGATATCGCAGAACACAGGTTTCCAGAGACATTTCGGGTGTCTGAGACTTAGTCTTGGAGGGTGGGGGAGGACGGCGTTCTGGGGAGCCCCAGGACAAGCGGTGTGCCTCTTTACCTGCAGCCGCCGCCCGCCGCCCGCACCTCCGGCTTCCATCTCGCCGGGCTGGGGGTGCCGCGGAGGGCCCATCTCGGTGGCAGCGCTGGGCTCCTGGGTCGTGGAGAGGGCTCCTGCCGGAGCGCGCCTCGGGCCCGCGGCTGTCCAGCCCCGCCGGCCCCGCTCACCCCCGCCACCCGGCCGCGGCTCCTCTCGTCTTCTTCCCCCGAACCTGCCCCTACCTCCCCCGCCCGCCCATTGGACCCACGCCGGCCGCGTCACTCGAGGGTCCGCACCAATCCGCGGAGGCCTGCGCGCTCTGATCCCGCCCCACCCTCCCGCCGACTCCCAGCCAATCAGGCGCGAGCCTCGCAGGGGCAGCCCAAACCCCTCGAGGCTGAGCCAATGGCAGAAGAAGACAAGCGCTCCCGGCGAGGGGGGCGGGGAGGTAGGAGGCCCCGCCTCGGTTGGGGTCTGAAAGCGGCGGGCGCAGGGCCCGGATGTGGAGAGTCACTTTAAACTGCTCCAGGAGCCAAACTCCCTGGGCCGCCCGCCCGCCGGCGCTGCCCCGGCCGCTCCACTTCCCCGCCAGGGCCCACGCCCGCCACGCCCCCAAGCCCGAAACAGCCCACCCCTCCTGGAGCCTCTCCCTTCCTTGCCGCAGGACACCCGGTCCCTGCCGCCGGCCCAACCGCCGTGCCCAGCTCGTGAAAAAGCCTAGGTCTGAGCCGCAGCAGACGAGACACCGCTGCCCTTCCCCAGGGACGCACAGCGGGACGGACGCTGCAGCCCGGCTCGGCCGCCCCGCCCCCTCGTCTCCTCCCCTCTCCTCCCCTCCCCTCCCGGGAGCCCGTCCCGCCATTACCTGGGTGCTGCGCCGAGGGGCCGCCGCGCCGCCTCGAGCTCGCTCCCGTGCGCTCTCCGCCTGTGGGGCCGACGTCCTCGGGCTCCGGACCCGCCGCCGCCGCCGGGGCGCTAGCACTCTGCCCCCCACCCCTCAGCCCAGCGCCGCTGCTTCCGCCGCCGTAACGAGCCTCTCACCTATTGGCTGGGGTAGGCCCCGCCCTCCTCTGGGGAAGCCAGTCACCGCTCAGTATGAGCGGGAGAGCGGACGGGCCTGCCCCTTGGGGCCGCGGAGGCCTCTGGGAAATGTAGTCTCCTGTGTCAAGAGGGCGGGCCTGGGCGGGACCTCCAGGCGACCCGACCGGTGCAACACACCCCTTTGCTGCCTAGAGTGGGTTCTGCCTTTTTCTTTGCTTAGCGAGGAGGTAGTGGATTCCCACCCTTCTGCCTCAGCTGATGGCACCAGGTTTCATTTTACTAAGGGAGGTGCGGCACGGGAAAAGGGTAATGGAGGCCGACTGTAGTGGGACGAAGAGGCCGCAGGCAGGGCCGAGGGTTTTCCTGACTGTGTTCACTTCCCCGCCCCGCGTTGTGGGACTTGATGTCACCACCGAAGGCGACGGCCGGCAAAGCTTAAGCATCGCTGGAGAATCGGGTGCGCTGAACTGGAGCGATTCTGTCGGGTTTGCGCCGAGCGCGCCGCCTCGAGAGCTGCGCACCGGCCTTGGCAGTCTCAGAGCCGGGCTCCCTCTGGTTAAAGCAGACTGACTCAGAGAGGGGCTCTAGGCACAGGACTCGGGCGCTGTGCACTTATTCAGTTTTTCCAGATTACAAAGAAGAGAAGGGGGATGGTGTTGCTTTGTTGTTGTTTTGTTTGGGGTGGAGGATTGGAGTTTGTACACCTGTGGAAGTCTTAGCCAAAATTGGTGAAGCAAAATTTGGATCTGTTAATAGATTACGTCCCCCTTCTCCTTTCCAGATGGTAATTTAGGCCTGGAGTTTTGTAACTAGTTAGAAATAAGGGGGAGGGGGGAGGAGGTCAAATCCCTCCTTCCTATCCTGCACAGCTGTGTAAGATAACTGCTGCTAGGAAGACAGTAGCTCATAGCAACAAGGATGAGTCTCAAGTACCCCTCTCCTTCCTCAAGCCACTTTCCTTTCTCACTTTCTTCCCTTCTCAAATTTCTTCTAAAAGTAACTGATGTGACACACTGTAGCCTCTTCTCTCCTTAAGCAGTCTATAACCCTTGTTGGATTCTGCTCCTGCCACCCTTCTCAAACTGCTCCCCAAAAGTTGCCAGTGACCTACTTCACCCAGTGGTCCTTGCTTAGCCCTCCTCATGTCTAGCTTACCAACAGTAATTCCTCCTTAAAACGTTCTTCCCTTTTCCTCTATAACCACACTCTCTCCTGGTTCTACTCCTATCCATATCAAGCTCCATTATACCCTTTTTTCCTCGCAAATACAGCATTCTCCAAGGCTCCTACCATCTTATAATGCTATACTATCTTCCTAACTGGTTTAAGCACTCTCACATTTTCAACTATCATACTTGATAATGACTCAAAATCTTATCTACACAATGACTTCTCTCTGAGTTGTACACCTACAGTTCCACGAATATGTCTTACAACCCCTGGATGGTAACAGATTGAACACCTTTATTGATTTGCCTCACCTGTGAGCTCCTTCTGATTTCTGGATTTGATGAATGACATCACCATCCTTTCCAGAGGCCTTTGGTTTTATTGTTGTTTTCCACTTTTCCATCTTCCAGTGTCACCATATGTACCTCTGTCCCCCCTTTCCAATGGCTTCCATCGCCTTGGCTCAAGCTTTCACGATTTCTTGTCTGGATTATAGTAGTGCTGTAATTGAGTGCCCCCACCTGAATCTCTTCCTACTCCCAATCTGTCCTCCACAGAGTTCTTTTTCTAAAACATTAATCTGAGTCCATTCTTCCCATCCACGATGTTCCAATAACTTCAGAATAAATCTTTAAATCCAGTATTCAAGGTCTGAATACTTCAGTCCCTCCTACTCAAACATAGAGTACTCTGTCAACAGTAGTTTCCACTAATTCTCCACACAGTTTGACTTCCAGGACTTGGCTCAAGGCTGATGTGCCTTCTATACGGCCCCAACGTTCAGCGATCATCTGGTAGAGTTCTGCCGATTCTACACTACCTACCTGAAAAGAAAATTATTTCTCTTCTCCTGCAAGCTTTCCTTGAATTCCTCTCCTCCCCTCTCCCCCCACAGGATACTTCCTAGAACTTCTTCAGTACTTCTAATATAGCACTAATCTGTCTACTCTGTATTATTCCTGGAGTAGGCAGAGAGAGAAATTACTCATCTTTAGATCTCCAGTCAACAGGAAGGATTCAATAAATATTTGCTGAGTATAGTCACAGACACATCATAATACATGGATGAAATCTGAGTTTTCCTTAGTTATTAGGGACAGTCTCTGCTGCTTTATTCTTATGTCTCCTGTCCTTCATATCATGGATACTTGAAGGAAAATCCATGGTTATATTGCTAGGTTTTAGAATCCCCATCCACTGAGCTTGGTGTGCTGAAGACACACCAAGACACTCCTTGTGCCCCATCTGGGCTGAATCTTCCATACATCTCAGGTGTTTAAGCCTCCTGTCAGTTTCAGGGGCTTATTAGTATCTTGGGTCTTGATAATGATGTTGCTCACATAAGATAGTTTGGATGGATTGAGCAAAGACACCAACAGGTACCACAGCTACTGGGTGGTTATCTAAAGTTAGGCAAGTAACTACTGCCCTTTTCCAACAAAGAGGACAGGTTCTCAATGCAAGTGTCCTGTGGTGGTCAGTCAAGTGTCAGTGGCCAGCCTCTAAGTGTTGGTGAATCTGTAGCAGGCCTTTGGACCTCAGTGGCTCTCAGTCTGTAAGAGCCTGGGTGGTCTAATGATACTCTTTGTGGTTCCTCTAAGTCCAGATACTCCCCTTGGCCCAACTCTTCAGCCAGAGAAGAATAGTCCCTTCCAGTTCACTCACCTGTAAAGTGAGAATATCATTACTTATCTCCATCCTGTATAGATTAAATGAGCTATAGATATAGAGGGTGTAATGCTTTTGAACTTTGTCATATCCATTTTTTAATTTTTTATTTTTTAATTAACATATAATGTATTATTTGTTTAAGGGTACAGGTCTGTGATTCATCAGTCTTACACAACACCCAGCGCTCACCACAGCACATATCCTTCCCAATGTCCGTCACCAGCCATCCCATCTCCTCTCCCCTCCAGCAACCTTTAGTTTGTTTCCTATGATTAAGAGTCTCTTATGGTTTGTCTCCCTCTCTGGTTTCATCTTGTTTCATTTTTTCCTCTCTTCCCCTGTGATCCTATGTCTTGTTTCTTAAATTCTGCATATCAGTGCGATCATATGATAATTGTCTTTCTCTGATTGACTTATTTCGCTTAGCATAATACCCTCTAGTTCCATCCACGTCATTGCAAATATCAAGATTTCATTTTTTGATGGCTGCATAATATTCCATTACACACACACACACACAATATTCCATCACACACACACACACATAATATTCCATTACACACACACACACACACACATACCACATCTTCTTTATCCATTCATCTGTCGATGGACATCTGGACTCTTTCCATAGTTTGGCTATTGTGGACATTGCTGCTAGAAACATTGGGGTGCATGTACCCCTTCGGATCACTACATTTGTATCTTTGGGGTATATACCCAGTAGTGCAATTGCTGGGTCATAGGGTAGCTCTATTTTCAACTTTTTGAGGAACTTCCATACTGTTTTCCAGAGTAGCTGTACCAGTTTGCATTCCCATTCATTGTTTTTATAACCTTCATTTCAGTTTATTACTCAGGCAGTCTCAGCATCTATTTCCTCCTGGTACCACATTCTGTGCCACTGTCCCTACCCCAAATGCACCTATTCCAGGTGTGGTGGATAGACCCTAGGATGACCCCTTGTGATCCTCCTCCTGGTGTTTCTTCCCTTGTGTAATTCCTTTCCCTTGAATGTGAGCAGGACCTGTGATTTGTTCTAACTAACAGAAAATGGCAAAGGTGATGAGATGTCACTTCCTTGACCATTTTATGTTCTTTGAGACTGTCTTGCTGTCAGACTTGCTCTAGAGGCTCCCACCTGGCCTGATGAAGCAACCATGTGACATGGCAAGGAACTATAGGTGGTCTGTAGGAACTGCAAGCAACTTCTGGGATTTGTGGCTTCCAGAAAACATCTGCAAGAGTTTGGACCTTCAGTCCTACACACCAAGGAAATGAATTCTACCAACAACTGGGTGAGCTTGGAATTTGATTCTTCCTTAGTAAAGCTTCCAGATGAGAACCTA